CATCAAAGAACCTGGTACTACGAGGCGTTTAGGACCTGCCGCATTATCTTTGTACCATATGAACGTGACCGACTTTTGGAGGAAATTGCATTTCTTTGGATTCAGCGTCAGACCTGCTTCCCGAAGGCGATCCAGTACTAATCAGAGGTTGGACTTCTGCTGTTTAGTGTCTTTCCAAAAACGAGATTGCCTTCCAGATTGATAATGCATTGTTTCGGGAATAGGCCGCGCAATGCTGTGTGCATAAGTCGCTGGAAGGTGGCCGCCGCGTTGCAAAGCCCAAAAGGCATCGTTTGGTACTCATTTAGTCCATTTGGCATAATGAAAGCTGTTTTTCTCTATCCTTCTCCGCTCCCTCCACCTGCCGGTAACCGGATTTCAGGTTCAAGGTCGAGAACAACTCCGCTCCTTGCAGAGAGTGCAACGAATCGTTAATATGGGGTAGAGGGAACGCGTCCATCTTTGTTACTACGTTGAGCCTCCTATAATCGACGCATAGACGTAGGCTACCATCGTGACGCCATACTTTACGACAAAGCTCTATAACCATTGCCTAATTTCATCTTAATCGATGAAAAATTTATCAATTTTTAGTTATTCTTTACAAATGTTGTTTTGAGAGTTCGAGCTCTGCCTTTGTAAAAAGCCATTCATCGAAATCTGTGCCTTTTTTAAAGGAAGGGATGTCGATCAGCGCTGCCACCAGTGTAGGAACTGCCTGCCTACCCTCATGCTCTTGAACCTCGGACTTTAAGAGATCGTCGATTGCAGAGGGATTCTTCACTGTCTTCACGCATCGGATTTGCGTTCGAATTCGCCTCCCGCCTCTCCCCTATAAAGGTCCACTCAAACACTTGTATATATTGCACCGATCTTCTGAGACCGTAGTGAGAAGGACAGAACAGCAGAGTTATTCAATCTTGTCCTTGTATTGCACAATTAAAACGCTGCGGAGTTTAAAGGGATAGCAAAATCCAAAGCATCATTTTTGGTGGCCATGAAGCCACGCCAAGTCACTTTCTTTCGTGTCAACTAAGTCGTATTTGTGGTTCTTCCAAAATTCTTCGCAGTTAGAGAATTCTCATCCTCCTAATGGAAAGTATGTAATCAGCAAATGGTAAGGAGCTGAACTGCCTGTAATGGATGAGAGGTCATTCCACTCGCATAAGTCTATATAGCCGCTTAGATGGATGCATCCGGGATCAGCAGTCAGTCAAACAATGTATCATCATGTTGATAGCATGTTTGGTTTATATTAAACTCCAAGGAACAAAAAAAATCCCAAGCAACCCTTTAACTATGAACTCAAGAATTTGCTTGAAGCTGATGTACTGAGAACCCGGCTGGTCAAACTTATCGAAGCGGGAAATCATAACAGCTGCTGTCATATGGATACAACTTCCACAAGGCTTTATACAATTTAACTCAGGTTTTAATTATTTTCCTGAATCCAGACTTACTAGATCCCGTGGTTGGATTATGCTTGTGCTCGTATGGAAAATCTGAACCTAAGGTATGTATAGGTTCATTTATTGCATGGAATTCAATCATGGATCACTTAGTCGTATAATATACAACCGAGTACAGAAACGCTGGCATTAAACTATTGTAAGAGGTTCCTTAGGCCTTCCCATGGCGTAAAATGATATCCACGCGTCTGCAGAACTCTTATAGTCACTTCTGTTAACGTTATATGTACCAAAAAATGTTCGACTATTACTGAGAACTCTATCTTGTCATTTGAGCATTATACAAATCCATTTCAATAAGGATAGTTGGTTAATGGTCTGAATAAATTGGTAAAAACTTTTGCACTTTGCACAAGCCATCGAATCAGCTATGGTTCGGCCTGATGAGCATACAGAGAAAAGCCCGCAGAACTTAGACTCGTTCAGTGACCTCGACTGCGTACTTCTCAGCATTAATACGTAACGTCAAACCCGATGCCTTCGTGTAGTCCAAATTGCGATACAAATCACACTGACAGGGTCACAAACGCAGTTCTCAACCACCACCATCACTCACTGATAAATGACAGTCAGGATACGCCAATAATATAGGCTCCCCTTACCGCCACATTAATGTCACTATCAGACCGCACGACCTGCTGCTCTGAAAATTGGCCCGGCAACGCGCCGAAAATTAAGCCCAAAGGCACCAGAACACCATTCTTACAAGGTAATCAGAATTTAAAGATTACTAGCACTTTTCTCGCCATCATGCGCGACTCATCCAACATCAATGCTGGAGAGAGATAAAGGCTGCGAACCATGCAACGACGCGAGATTCCGAGTACGTCACGCGCGGCCGACTCCCTCTAACAATTTTCTCAACCACCCGCATCGGCTTTAGAAGAAACCAACAACGTAAACCACGACCATTAGCGCGGAAACAAGGGGAGCCAAATTGCGGCGACTCAAAGAGTAGGTAACATGAACTGCGCTAGCACAAGCACTGCAAAGTTGAAACACCGACCGGCCGAGCACGTAAAACGCAAACCGCCCAACCACCCCCAAGTATCATGGACATCACCCAACGCAAAGACCCGACCAAGTGATAAATTCACTTTGTGAACTTAGGCCAAACCCCCCATCATGAAAGTAATATTCAGCTCTAATAATGAAAGAGTTGTTAGCAGCTTGAGATTCCGAGTATAGCAAAACAAAAAACAAAGTAGGAATTTGATACAATTTACCAAAAAGCCTAAACTGATAGGGCAGTAATTCCAGAACCCGGAACCATAATTTCTCTTCAAAACATAGAAACACAACAAGCTGACACGACCACACTGGAAACCAAATAAACAAAAGTAACCAATGTTACAGAGCACCAGTAATAATGATCCACCTGTGCACACACGCACTATACATTAAGCACAGGGATAGAGGAATTACAGAGAATATATGCCATCAGCAACGTCTTGACCTTTGGGAAGGTTCCTCTGTTCCTCCACAGTCTGGTAAAAAAGACGATCTGGATATTCAAGAACCTCTTTTATCCGACGACCGATCCGCATAATGATCTCTTTGTTTTGCCAATTTGAGGTCCAAAGACTGAGCCTAGCGCCTCGAGTGCGCGGCTGAAACACTGCACCACAAATCTCCTCGGATTCCTCCTCTGTCTCCCAGGCATTACCAACAATCAGCATCAGGAGTTCCTCCCAATACCTTGGCAAATTTAGAACCGAATAAAAGTATGGTAGCAACGTCACTACAGGTAGCAATGCAAAAGTTGAAAAAATACGGTCGAGACCGAAAAAACCAATGAAAAATACCGATTGACTTCATTAGCATTGGGCACATTAATGAGCCACCGACCCCCGTTTTCATTTTTCGGATCCTCCCACATTGGCTGGATGCCATCTTTGAAAATATACAAATCCGTACCATTTGCAATATCCGATGGTGGCAGAGTATGCAACATCATACTCCAAAACCTCTCCACAGTATTGAATGTGGTGACTTTCTGCATCCGTTGTTCCCATTCGTGGCCAAACGAGTAGTTGAAAACAAAGAAATTCCAACTAAAAGATGGGAGAGCTCCCACATTAAGTCTAGCAGTTACAATAAACGCAGAAAATATCCGAATCAAAGAAAAATATTAAACTTGAACCACCAAAAACCATGAGAGCTTGCAAACTAATTCGGATGCTATACGCTTACAGTGACAAAAAGACTAATGATTTTGCTTTACAACATCAGATAGACCTGATCCAAAGAGCAAAGTATCGTTTGAAAAGTTTTTATACACATCAAGACCAGAGCAGGTAAGGTTAATATGGCCAAATGGTATGTAAATACGCACGAATGTTGAAGATAGTGACCATCAGGCTCTCCCACTTCACCTCTCTCCACTACGGCCATTTTAGTGCAAGTGGTCGCAATGTCACGACAAAAAGTGCGGAATTTTAGCTGATGCAACGGAACAAAACTACTTATTGATAATACTGTTGCAAATTAGTATCGAATGTAATACGACATTAAATAATAGATAATAATGCCGTAAATTATTTACTGACCTTCTTGATATTGCTCAAACCTATGGGAGGGTGATTAAGCTTGGTCGCACAAATGTCGGAGCTCTTGTAACCCCGACCAATCGAGCTCTCGATTTGCGCAATTGCCTGTTTTACAAAAAATACGCACTTGGACATTAAGTAGCTATAATCATGGTAAATAATTCTCTATTTTAAAAATTAATAGATGACATTAAAAGAAGCACCACTTGCAACGGTCGAGTTAAAAGCTTATCGCCAAGTGTCCATTTGGCATAGCTGTCTTAATGGCTTTGCTTGTTTCCTCTATGTCATGTTCGAATGAGTAAATAATCTGATGACCGACGAGTATGCTGATACCACGACTCAAGAAAAACACAATGGTGTCTTTATGACTTTCCCGATTCTAGAAGAAACTCTTCGAATGACTTGTTAGCATTATTTGGAATGCGCGACCACTTGAGCCCTCAGACGATATGTGTAGCACATCATATCTATGTGGTATTGCGAGGTGTCTAATTGACATTGCACCATGTGAATTATTAACGTGACTTGATTGTCGTACCTACTACTGGAGGTACAATCTCAGGTATTCAAAAGCCCATCTAGTCTAATGCAGAACTAAACAATCAAGGCGCTCTCTTGTAGTTTAAGCTCCTGCCCTCCAAGCTTTTACGAATTTAGAGTAAGCTTCAGGGGCTTTACATGAACCTACTTATATTGCTTAAAATCCCAGCCAACCGAAACACTACTTTCCTTGTAATTAACAGCTGAGGTGTGGTCTTCACATGGCTCGGCTCCATAAGAGTTATTCAGCATCCCCTCTGGAACGTTGATAGCTTCTAAATATGGCATTGATTTATTACAAAGAAAAAAATGTAAAAACGAGCTTGGCGATATCAGCTACGTTTGGTTTATTCGAGGCAGAACATTGAAATCACAGTGAGAGGAGGACTGCGTCTTGAAGTCTTATCAAACAAATATGACGGATTTGTCTGTAATTAGCATTTGACGTATCACTGAGGGCTGCATTATCGATCGATCGGCGAACGTTGCCAAGATGGCACTAACGAATAGAAGACAAACTCCAACAAAGTTGAGAATGGGACTTTGTGCTAAAACGTGCATAAATGTAACAGTGAGCTATGATTACGATAAAGTCATATCTCCGAATGTCAAATAGTTGCGCCAAAGGCACTTCAAGTTACTCACTCCACTCGCAGTTACCCTTCTGGTAGGGCGCTGTCAGGGCGCCGCAGACTTCCTGCACGGGAATGGAAGCCCATCCTGCAGGCCATGCGAACAGTCCGGCGAGAAGTAGTAGGTCTGCAGCAAAACATTTCAACGCCGTCAGTGCACGCTTCTGCTTATCCCACATCAACAACATCTTCAAACGCGCATGCAAACCTGCACATTTTATGCGCCTTTCTAGACAACACCATTCACCATAGCTTCATGCAGATAAGATGTGATCGAAGCATTGTTTCCTTAAACGAGAGAGTAACAGTTATTTTTCGTTACATTTAAAAATAAGAATACCAATTCCACTCATATGTGCGTATAGTTTTAAAATTTATCAAAAAGAATGGTAAACTAAATTAAGGGTGTTAAATTATTTGCCTTGGCATGGTGTAGTAGGCAACCTATAATTTACGCCGTTTACTCAATTATTGGTAGATCCTTAGTTTACAATCCACGTTTAGTATTGTAGCCATATTTTAGAGGAGAAGGGAGCAAAATAGGTTCAAAGTCATGGGATTCGATTCGCCTTAAACACATTTTGTGAGTCGTCTTCTGAGCTTCCATACCCAATGTTGTAGCCTTGCGAAGCATGCTTTCGTTTCAGCGCTTTGTTTTGTTCCACCTTCTTAGGTGGAGGCAGAAAATTCTAGTTTCACATTATGGAGACTGGAATTCCCCAGAAATGACCTTTTAAGAAGTCGCGTAGGACCTTGCTTGTTGTTTATCATGCCTCTTATGGGTTCCTAAATAAAAGCAAATATTTGAATCTTACAAAGTGCCATTGAGCATGAACAGACTGAAACGAAGGGTGAAGATGTATGATCAGATTCCACGCCCATACTCTACAACGTAGTTGCGACACTTTCCCACCAATGAAATAAATGAAGTTAGCGTTTACGCATTATTCTGCGTTTGCCATCAATAACAGTGGATTCCAATGAAAACCATATGCAATCCACCCAGAAAGAGCACCAAATGTCATATCAACAGCTTACTGTACAAGAGCTAGCATTTGGTGGTTTGAAAAGATCGTGTCCACGAGATGTCTGTTTGAAATGCGTCCCAAGATGAGATTGAGAGTACATCCATAGTTTTGACACAAACTTGACTTGAAAAATTTGCATCGCTAAGGCATGACATTCGCGGACAGCATCCGAGAAACTCGTTCTATTTTGCATAAACCCTCCTTCAGTGGGTTGATGCAGTTATGCCTTCGCGGTCCATGGGTAGGACACGCATGCCACATGACGCTCCACTTAATTGTAGCTGCACTTGCGAGCATAAAAAGACGTGTTCTTCAGAGAATGTTCTAACCGTTATGGTGGCAACCGGCACTGAATTATGCCAAGATTTTACCTTCGCTATCTCGCCATTTTGTTCCCAGAACAAACAGAAACGAAAGGCCACAAGGTAGCAAGTGGAAATGCAAGCGTTTGAAACACGGTTTCACGTAGAAGCGTCTGCACTGATGGCCCAATTGTCGAGTGCAAGTGTCACAACAGTATCACTTCCCTACGCTTCGCCGAAAAAACACAAACTGAGTAAGAGCTTCACATTAAAAAAGAACATTCGGATCTGAGTGCTAAAGTAACGACTCTATAACACAGAGTCTACTTTTAATAGTCCTGAGTCAGACCTATCCAACCTCCAAAAATTGGGAAATCGTTCCTCGATAAGCTGTAGAAGTAATCCTGTGATGGCCTGAGAAAATGCAATTCTTGTAAAGACAAACTTCACCGGATGAGTGCGCATCTGACACGGAGTTGGAGAGGTCTTGATGATGACAGTATGCTTTATTGTTGTGTTTCAAAGGCAAGTTTTTCGTGCTAGGTGCCTTAAAGTAAGTGAGAATTGGGAGAGCTTGATTTCGGATACTTTTCTTATCTATGTTTATCAATAAAGGAGAAAATGTTGAAATCTTCAAAGAATCATCTTATAGCCTAAAATTCACAAAATGAATTTAAAAGCGGACATGATAGGTGGGTAGAAATGTTTAAGAATGGATGGTGAACTATGTGAAGAAAACAAAGTCTTCATTTTTTGCTGTGCATGGAAATAAACTGTGAAAGGTATGTCTAGTGCAACGCTTTACATAAACTTACATGGCTTTAAATCTTTCAACTCACAAGTTAAACCACAATTTAACAGATGTAGCTTAAAATGGTAAATTTAGAGAAATTGTACTGGTGACTACTAAGGCGATTGTTGAACGCTGAGCGCTCGATCCTAGCGTGCAGAGTGGTGCCTGCAGCACAAGGGACGTGGAGGTTTTGCCATCCAAAGGCTTCACTATAAAAGGCGATGCAGTCATCAAGGCCATCATGAGTCACCAGTGCAAATGTGGACTACCCAAGAGAGCAAAAAAACCGCTTTATTAGCCCAAATGTCACTGATGCTCAATTTTGTGGTGCGAAGACCAAAAACAAAGCTTTATTTTCTGAAATTTACCCACAAACCCGTCTAGACCTTTTGCTCCAATTAAATGAGACCATGGGAAAGTCCCTCCCTTGGCGGTGCCTATGAGCAGCTCTATTGGAGGGGATGTGTGCACACCTCAACATTTTCGATTTCGTATGCTTGACACAATAGACATAAGATGTATCCGCTCTGACTGGCATTTGAATGGCAAAAATAAAATTTATTGCCTTGCAAGGGAGTTTTGTGGTTTGCTCGCACCTACCATCCATTTGAGTTTTCGTTGTCACGGCTTTGGGTAAAATGACAGGAGTGGTAGCTACTATCGACACATTGCTTTCAAATTCAACTCCAAAAAAGGAACTTTAGTGATACAGCAACAAGTCACCGTAAATACCACGAAGATGAGGATGAATGAGTTTATATTTTTTGATGAGCTCTGTGTGATTTTCGCGCCAAACAGCAAAATCTTTTCAAAATATGGAGGCATCGAAATTGTATGGAATCACTATCTCCATTTCCATTTCTCGTTTAAAACGAGAAATAAATGAGAGTGGACATTAGTAAATGGGTTCACACAATGTTAAAAGACTAATTCCTTTGAAATTATTTGCAAAGACAGACATTGTGATAGAGGTAGAAAAACTTGCTAAAGATCGCTTATAAAATCTGACCACTAGATATTTGTGTAAATTACACAAAATTGCAAACTGCCTGTACTACAACCACGCCATTTTCAGACTTTTCTGAGCATGGAAACAAGGTTATAGTTGACCAAATCCCTTGCTTACATGTACAATGCAATGATGCTTGGTAGAAGAAAAATTGAAAGATTAAGCGAAGACCCTTTGTACGAGCAAATGACGCGGTAGAGAGGGTAACATACCAGCGCAGCATTGCAGGAGTCCAGTCACCTGGAAGACACTGCGACCGAAGAGCTCGCGTTTGCAGAGGGAAAGGCAGAGGAGGGAATGGGCAAACAGTAGTATGCCAGAGCCACTGAGGAGAAGCAGACTACCTGCCCATGCAGCAGCATTCGATGCCGCAGGCTTCTGGCCACCCCCCCAGAGGGAGAAGCGACAGTAGACTTGCGCTTCGGCATTCCACAACCACCGCAACGAGCGGGCGGGTATGTGACCAGGGCAGGCAGTCTCACAACTGAACACCGGCCCGAGAGAAGGAGATGCATAATACAGAGTCTCCAAAGTAGAAGGACTAGTTGGAGTCAATATGGTTTGACAGTTGATTTCCCAGATGGAATTGTCAATTTCCACGCGTTGCAGCCACCCGTTGCTAAAAAGGCTAATGAGGATGAAGGCCATGGAGGAGGTGGAGAATAGCATCCATATCAGTGAGACGACGCTGACTACTATTCTCTTCATCTCAGCTAGGGAGGAATCAGAGGAATGGCACACACTTTGACGCTACGCAGCGATGCAGTCGTGCTGCCTTGCACGCAATGGCTCGTGCGCGCATCCGATTGGTCCCCTCGAGGTCCGGTTGCTTTGGCCATTATGCTGACTATTTGAAACACAAGCACAAGTTTTGATTTTTTAACAAGAACTTTGTGTCATGACTGTTTTTGTTACTGGCCTATGAATAATCTGACGTTCAGCAGTTCAGACATGTAGAGAAATGTTTGAGCACATGAGTGACCACTCACAATACAGTAGCTCCAATCGTTTGCGTGTTTATCAGGGTAAGCATAAAACTACTAAAGATTATTTATGAGTTCAAGGACTAAACTAAAAACGCAGCACTTAATGCGGGGAATTGTGCAGAAGATGCTTTTATTTTTACGCTAGTAATGCGTGAGGCGGGTGATAAACCACTCTCCATAACGGGAAAGAGAAATTGAGAACAAGTGAAATGATATCTTTGTCCTCCTATGGAAAGCATTAAATGTCAACAGCGTATAACGTAGAGTTGGGACACCGTTAAGCTTGAAATAGAGGCTATTATTCATCTCAAAATAAATATTAACGGAAGTACCCCAGTTCAAACCAATAAGTGGATAGTATTACTTAAAATTTCAAGAAGTCGGCTGATTTAAAGCAACAGTTCTCAGCTTTTGTCTCCTCATTCAGCCAACATTTCCGGACCTCTCTAGATCCACCATGAGCAATAATTTCCAAAACCTAGCTTTGTCCAAAAATAATATGCAGAATCACCGATTATTCATGTGCCCTCAAACACCTACTCTCAGTGTCAATTCCCAGTTGGTACCCGTGATTCAAAAACTTTGCTTCTACCACCATCACACATTGAACGCGATCGCGACATTTCATATCCACATCACATGTCTCTGTGGATGCTTTGGTAGACATTAACTTCCCTGGAAAATAGTGACAAAGTGTGGTACTTAATGCATGGAAAAAATACCAAGGTGGAGAACAACTAAGGTCACCAATATTTAACCACTTTAAAGAGGGTTCGCAGAGGCTGCCGAATCGGAGCAGAGGCAATATGTATGGAGGTTATTTGTCCTTGAGTCGGATTCCCAACAGTGGCATAACTCACGAAGTGACATTTCATCCAGAGAACCTAGCGGTACTTGTAGCACTGTGCACAAGTAGAAGTCACATGGTAGAGGCACTAAACTCAAACAAGTGGCAGTAATGGGGAGTCTCCTCTTTCACGCTGTGGACGACCATTTTCGTCGAATGCACCAGGTTAAAATAGACACACTGAATGCTTTACTGTTCCAGAATTTTAGGACGATTCAACAGGGGTTGCACAAAGGCTAATCAGTGCATAATTTTACTGTTTTGATGCAATTTTACACGGAACATACTGCTATCTGTTACCAAAAATGCAAGATCAAAATGTATCAGATTCGAATACCAACAAGTAAAATGGAAAATCAGTTCTGTTTGGTGTGAAAAGCATGGTAAGGGGAAGCATGCGATACAACCCACACACTACTCTGAAAACATCATTTTCAAGAGGACAACATCATGAGCTAGTGAGCAAAGTTTAGCAAAGCGTAAACATTTAAATACGAAAGTACAACTTTGCTTGCTCTTAAACTGCTCGTAATGGCCTGGACTTTGGAGACCCATACAGTCTGCAGAACTCTACAACCAAACACCACAAAGTCCAGCATTTTAAATTGACTACAATTAAAAAAATATGCCGTTAGCCCGCAAAAGAGTAAGCAATGTATAGGTCCGAACCCATAACATCCAAATGCCCATCGACGATGCGTTGGAAAAGGAGCGATATGATTTCGGTTAAAAAATGTCCGATGGCAAAAGGCAAGCCTTGTTTCGCACCGTTGTTACTCGATGATTACTAACGAAAAGGCGTGCAACACAGGGTAAAACATTAAATATAAATATACAGAGACATTATTGTTGTGAAGAGCTAGGAGCTGCAAAAACAACAGTGAACCAGGAATAAATGCTCAGACGCGCACGCATACATGGACGTGTGTGAGCCTGCAAGGAGAGACAAATGCAACAAGTGGAAATATTAACTAGGGGGCTGTGGATGAGGTCAGTGCGTGTGAATGAATGGGATAGCTGGAATGTAGCTAGGAGGTGGAAGGGGGCGAAACTGTCGATTCGGAGGGCGATTCTAGGGAAGAGGGCAAGATGCGGGTCGGCACAGTTTTCTTTCGTCGGTTGAGTGACGCTGTCGAAACTGGAGACAGATTATTTTGAAGTACTGGAGAGCCACCTTTACTGGTGCTGTGTTGAAGGTGACTTTCCTTCTTCATTAAAACAGAAGTTGACGTCCTTCCACCCAGTCTGCGCTTTTCAAACCATTCATTGACCTAGAAAATAAAAAAGACATCATTGCCAAATGCTTGATGACATTTAACGAAAAGGCGGATTTTTTACAAAACGTGCCTACTACCAATAAAGTAAGCCATCAATACATTAGCCAGAAGGGTTTGTTCATTAATGTACAAATCAACTTAGGTGTGTATCTGAAAGTTGGTAGCTAGGAGAACCGGCTTGCAACCCTGTCGGTGGGCGAAAAAGAAGTGATTCGTGGCCTGCCATAGACTTCTGTCTACTCGCCGCATAAAGAAGTAATCTTGATCAGTAAAAAGATTTCTTAACGGTTATACTTGAAAGTTCGCCGTCCATTTAGCAGCACTAAGCGTTTAAGGGAGGATTCTGCCATTGCCATCAATCACCTTCATGCAAGTTTCAAACTTTTTACCTCACGTGTTAGTTCCAAACGAAAAAGGAACAGGAACAACAAGAAAAGATGGTTTAAACTGCTCAGCGAACAAAAATTATGTTTTTAGGTTATGTATGCAAAAAATTACAGAAATACTACTCACGTCTTCGAGAGAACAGCAAATCTGCTTCGCAAGCTCACTAATATCATTGGGATCGGGCTGAGGGCACTGATCGAAAAAATTGACGAGGACGTCTAACTGTTGTTCGGTTAATTGTTTTGATTCCGTGTCGACCGTAGCAGAAGACCCACTTTCCGTGCGCTGGCGCTTTGGTTTCCTTTCTGCAACATTTTCGTTGACTTCTGACGGATAGAAACAACTGATGCAGTGTTCCGCGTAATCACTTACCAACTTCAATACAATTTACTTGCCACATGATACAAGATTGTGCGCCTAGTTTACTGCATAACACAGTGCTACAGTGAATGCTAAGAATTATTTTAACTTTTTACTGTCCTATGCGCGAAAACATAAGACTAAATCAAGACTGGAAAGAAAATAAATAAGCAACACAGTTTACTTATGTCATGTCCCTCAGCAGACCAACAAGAACCAATATAAGACTCACAGAAGCTTTCAATGGCAAAACTTACCATCAGAAAGCCCAGAAGCCAAACGTACTGAGTCCACCCAAAGTTTGAGTCTCACGTAGGACTCCCTGGGCTTGTTGCCAGAAATTTGATCCCATGGTCGGCATTTACAAAGAAGATCAGAGACAGAAGCTTGACTTAGCCCCAAAATTGTGTTCCCCAGAGCACGTTGGGTCATTGAAGTGGTGTTAAGGAGCTAAAAGACATTCAACATGACATAGTCATTCAAGCAACTTAACGGACTCACATATCAGCATTTATATAGTCTTTAATCACACCCACTGGACTTTTTAAAAAAGGAGTCAAATAATGCTTGAATCACTTCAACCTTGATTAGTAAGGAGTAGCTTAGAGAAATAAAAAAAAAGTACAAGCTTGGCATCGGCCACTGTTTTCATGACATCGAAGCCATCTTTAAGGAGACGCTGAGCTTCAGAAGATCGGATACTGATGGATGATCGACCGCAATTCTCTGGTTTGTAGGAAAGGGATGCGGCGGCTACAGGAGTGACTGTTGCGCTGACTCGAGACTGTGTGGAGGCAGTGTCCATGGCGTTCGTAGATTTAGAGGAGTCGGCAGCATCACCTGAAAGCGAATCTTGTTGCGATTTCGGCGAGACTTCCTCAGATTTCTCAAATTTTATTGCTATTGCGCCCTCCTTCCCCGTCGATATGTCTTTACAACGTAGAACGAAGTATTAAGTTATGGTTTGGATGGTGATCAACTTACACAAAGTAAGCATCAGTGCCTAAAGAATAGTTAAGTACCTATTGAATGGAAATTACCAGATTGTTCAATCTAAGCGCAAGCCATTATTTTTACCTCATGATTACCAGAGCATTCAGTCCACAACTGACCAGTGATCATGAAAAATTGGAACAGAGCAAAAATTACTGATAATAGTGGCTCGTGCACCATTTCATGAAGTGCTAATTATCAGAGTTTTTAAGTAACCCTTTCATCAAGCATGGTCGCTTTCCTGTGGCTTTTGCACCCCTCTGTCAATTTAAAACACACTAACTTCCCAATGGAGATTGATGGTTCACCCAGCTTATTACAATCCCACAAATTGCACAAATTCTTGCACAAGCTTGAAAAGTAGGAAGGCTAAAGCTTTCAGGGCTGAAATGAATTACGAGCGAGCTATTCAAAAAGGGCAAAAAACGCACTTCAGAGAATCAGGAAATACCACTTTTGTTGTAAGAACTTGTATTTGTCACTTGACAATTCCAACGTAACTGCCGTTCATAAAGCATGCAACATTCACTTAACACGAAGTAAGCAATTTAAACTCTTTACTGATGGATAAGTCTGACAATGGGGTTCAATAAGCTTAGTCAATCAACATTTCGAAGAAGACGACGCAATTCGCTCCTGCGGATGTTTGTCTAGCGCCATGAGTCACTTGGCGTACTACTGCCCAATGGCCGCTGATTCCCGCCATTTCGGTTGGTTTCAAGACTTACCAAAAACCTCATTTGTCCATATAGTAAGACCTTCAGCATTAGGAAACAACGGGTTTGCTTGACACACCTACATTTTAATTAAAAAAACAGTAGAATACTCACACCCGACCATTTCGGTTCGTGAAGAGAATGCATGAGAATAAACGTAATAGCCTCGCAAAAGATATATAACCCGAGGAAGTACAATTTAAGTAGGCTATAAAGCAACTTGATGGCTTGCATAAATGTATGCTAATTGATATGGATGGAGACCAGGTGTGTGATTGCTAAAATCCCAGAGAAGAGAAGAAACTTTTAAAAACCAGTGCCAGACCCGAATTGCACATGAATTTCATTGGCGGGTTTCAGTAAACGCTCGAACCCATCCCATCTTTTGTAAGTATCCGGTTTCCAACGGTTCAGTTAAGGCAGTACAATATCTGATGCTTGCAACGCCGTTATATGGCACAAGTTTTTGCATATTCAAAAGGCAGATGATTTGGACCGAAATAGTGAGTTCTTTGTCAATATTCCACAATTAAACGATTTGCCATCTACAAGGTTGCCGATATCTTGGAATGCTTAAAACACCATGTGAATAAATGAGACCCGAACAATGACGGCCAATAATGAGGCTCAAACAAAGGATCGACTCGGTTACAATCATAAGGGATTGGCAAATTCAACGGTTTGTAACCAAGAGTAAAAACAACCCGGCAGAAGTATAATCAGACGAAAATAATTTCAAAAAAGATTTTATATTTTGCCGCTATGGAAGAAGCAGTGGAGTTGTGATGATAGGAATAAAGGTAAACTGGAGCAGCTTCCAACATGCACAAATATTTATTCTAATGCACAAAAGGTTGAAAATACACATTATCGGCGTTTATCGCCGATAGTATGTAAAAAATGAAGGCCAAAAGAATATTCAAATCTCCTTTGGTAACAAGCGCGGATGGACGTCAGTTCATGGTCTATTCATGCGAGAGAAGCAGCTGAATTGAGTGTCCACGCTTATTGTGCTGGCCGACCTGTAGCTCACGTTTGTCCCACTTAACTTGAATTGCCAAGCCTAACATTTCGGTGTCTGCTCCTAACCCAATATATTTATTTCATATTGCTTCGGAGCAATTGAGTTTGAAATGTCGAAACCTTAAGTTACCCTGTTGAAATATTGGAAAGGAGAATACGCAAGCTAGCATCCGCCACATAAAAAAACAGTAGAACGTTTGGGCTGTACACCCATCTACAATTGTCGAATAAACGACGGAATGTCCCCATCCATTGAAAAAAATGCGTCAACGTCTAACAGTGTTTTGTTTTAAGTTTTGCATTTGGCTAAAAGTAAGTGGCAGAACATTGGATGACATTAAGTCAAACCTGAAGAGCAAAAATAACAACTTTACCAATACTTTGAAGGCTCTTTACCGTTGAAAGGCAAATGACTTAATTGACATTAAAATATGGAGACAAGACCTCAAAAATGACCAAATAAGCACAGCGGGCAAGTTTTGGAAATGATAAAAATCAAAGGGCTTAATCTGCTGGGCTTCAAATTCTTAAGATCATGCTAAAGAGAGCTTGAGCTATGGGTGAGAGGACTCACTGTACTCGAAGCCATTCAAAGAGCGTGGATTTTCCAGAAAAAGTTTCATGCGAATAAATGGTTCTCGGCCTTTGTTAGTAAGCATTGACCAAGGTTTCGGTCTAGTTAAGAGATCTGAGACGCTCCCTTGTGAAAGGCCTAAAAATCCACCAATCAAAACAATAGTATATTGAACGAAATTACACAGTGAATGTGAATAGAGGTAGAAATTTTGAGGAGGCAACTTGCCAAGCACATTCTGGCCAAAGGAGCGTTGGCTGATGGCGCATTTAAGTAACATGTCTTTGGTTTGACGAGCGATTTCTGAGGTGTCTAGAAGCATAGGTCGACGATACTTGGCTGGGATAGGCGGCAGCTGTGGAAGCGTTGAGGGTGAGGTAGAAGAGACCGACGGCGTCCCCTCTTCCGTTGTAACCGACTTGGCCGGGCTCCCGCGGTTTCCCAATGTCGAAGCCGCCATTCCCTCGTCTGTACCCGCCGCTGACACCGTTGGTAGCTCGCTCCCTTCTTTCTCTCCCTCCACTCCGTTAAGAGCGCTTTGGAGAGGTCGAATAGGTGGCAGCGCTGTGGCCTCGTCTTGAACACTTGACAAGGTAGTTTGCTAAAGCGTGGAAGCAGCTACCACATCATTCACAATCATATACACTGCAGAGAGAAAGTACTCAGAAAATGACCTACGTCATAAAATCAAATGGGAGGCAAAAGTAGTAAGAAGGATTTGATCATTCGCATCGATAAAGAATTTATCCTGCTCTGAACGAGAATACTCCACCTCAATTTACAGACACATGATAAATAAAATCATCAAAATCAAAGGGATGAAAAAATTGAGCTAAGAGGAGAATGAATTTTAAAAAGTTTTTGCCGTTCAATACTACATGCCCAAATAAGTATCCGGGAGGAAGCTGGGACAACAGCATTCTTGGGAGTCAAGTTAACAGCAACAGTATTTATCTCGAGCAATCCATTAATCAAATCAATTAACCATGGCCCCCTGATATTCACTGTAAAAGGTGTTGTAGTCTTAACCTGGCAGTGGTATGCATCAAACAATGTTGGAATCAATATTTGCGAAATTGCATTCTTCGTAGCAAATTAGCTGTGAAGGTAAATTAAAAATAGAGATGAAAGTTATGAAAAGCCTGCTAGACAAGTGAAAGCGTTATCAGTTGATGTGCGCTAATGTTACCGGTAAAAGAAAATCAACGACTCGCCTGTCCATTGGGTTCGGCTAGAAAGAACTGCATTGTCCACAGTGGACCAGCAACAAAACTGCAAATGCGAATAAATGTGTGAACTAAACTGTGCAGTGCAACGCATCCATTTGCGGTACGTGCGTATCTATCTAAAGGCCATCACGACCACTTCCAGTACTCGGAAAAAATCTTCAATGTTGTGCAAATACTACATTAACGTAAAATAGGGTTTTACAGATTATTTTCAGCTTACTTGTGAATAATAAATAATTTTCTCTCATATTACTCCGCCAATTAGGGTTTAAGTTGACTATTGCTGCCACGTGACTGTTCCGTGAGTTAAGCTAGAAAGTTGCTGCGTTTGCAAAGCTTGCAAAATACATCACTTATATGCGCACCCTCGTCTTTTAAAATAACTCTGATGCAAAGGGAAAAACCTTTTCTTTCCAAAATACATTTCATTATTTTTCACACGCCACGTGAATGCAAACCCTCCTGGTGCAAAGGTGGGTGAATGGGTTAACAAATAGGGAACGTTTAAATTTAACGTGCGACAGCAGTCGCCACGTCTGCTGTGCGTGGATCATGTGAGTGGAGATGCCCCAACAACTTCCAATTTAGGCACTAAATATAAAAATTGCTAACAGCCAAACATCAAGACAGTGCCCGGTGAATGGAGAGATTAAAAACACGAAGTCATGCGGCTGAGACCGAAATAAAGATGGCGTAACAGAAACACACATACAAACTAAAAAATAAGGACCAGCAATGAAGGGCATTGACAACGCCAGCTAAATGAACTAAAATTCGAGAGAATCTACAGTTTTGTGAGTAACAATATGCCGAAACTGATTCCACAAAAGACAAGGATTATACGCTTCTCCTTAATCCTAAATAATGCAAAACGGAATTATTCGAAGTCTCGAATTCAGAAACCAGATTCTCCAAAAGACATTGGCCTCACAGGAAATTACTGTGTGAAAGGAGCAGCCTAGTTCAGGTGAGTTATTAACCTGCTCAATTGATTGAACAGATCTTGCGTCTTCACTAGCCGATACTGAACCCGATGCCTGAACCTCGAGGCGTTCCTTCTCTTCTGCGGCCATCTCAAGTCGTGCGTCCATCAGGAGCTTGGCGATTTTAGCTTTTGTCACAGGCGCAGTTTGTTCACCACCAAAGCCTTCATTGGTGATGAATCGACGAGATCTACGAACTGGTACGGCACCGGAGGTAGAGACGGCGGGTGGTGAAGAAAGGGCGGGGGTGGACGGAAGCAGAACACTCCCAATTTTCCCCCCATCCTGTTGCAGCCTTTCTGCTGCCAAGCGACAGGCTAGACGTCTGCTGGCCCAAAATCGTGAACTATTCAGCACAAAGGAGCGCTTACCTATCAGTCAGATTAAAAAAACGTTTTAGTTCTTTAGTAACAGAATAAATGGACATCTATAATTGGATGAGTGGTCATCGCATTAATTAATTTAGTGATTTTCAAGTGCAGAAGCAAGTAATTTCTGGGAAAGCTCTAACACATTTTGAAAAATCTACTCATCGACTCCGCAAAGCTTAGAATTGCTGAGGTAAAAAAATAGAAAAGTTAGGACTTCTTATTCTATTTGCCAATTCATAAATCAAGCTGGTATGCATTATCTTACCAACAGTTAGCGCCTAAATAAAATGTGTAACGAAAAGTGATGGTGAGCCAATAAGCTACTTTTAGTGGAACTGACTATATAACTTTAGCAATGAAAAGCGAGGAGTGAAATAGACACCGCCGGCAGTAATGTTAGTCATAACAGAAGACTAGAACTTCAGGAGGAGAATACGCAAGTTAAAGTTATAATTTATGTCCAATCAACCCTTTCTAAGGGATGACTTGTTTAACGATAATGAATTACCATACTAGACTCGCATTCCCGACTTATCTTTTCTGGAAATTTGACCCAGGCTTTCTGGATAGAAGTCATGACTTCTGGATGGCAACATCACTATCCACCAAATCGGTATTGAAAATGAATTGCTACACATCACATTTCAGTAACACCCTTGTGCCTCCTAATCTTGTGAATTTTGTCGAATTGGCGATTCACTCGAAACGAAGCAATCACACAAAAATTCGACAAACACACGCAGATATTCGAGTGGTCTTAGATGCTATTCAACCGCTTGTACGATTTCATTTAAGTGAACCAACTTGGATGGTCCTGGTGGCAACCAAAAGATGACGATAGGTTGTATAAGGAACCCAAAATTTTGAACAGCAAACCAACGTCCGTAAATTGCTGAAGTTCATTTTGTGTTTAGTAAGAATGACAGAACAGGTTAGCCGTTTCATCTCATGAGACTGGAATGAGCTGAAATGGTGGGCAAAGATTACACTGAATTTGAAGGGTGCCAAAGTGACTTACGGCGCGGAGTAGAGTATGATTTTTTGCTGTTTCTAGCTTTAGAAGACTCTGCCACAGGCAGAAGTATATCGTCACCATACACTGCGGTGAATCGAGCCTCCAAAGAGGCCACCTTCGACTGGACAGAGGCCAACTTGACCTTCATTTCATCCAATGCAACTGCAATCTTTCTAACCTAAGGTAAAGGATAAAAACAACAAATGCACGGGTGTGGCTGGATGTTTTAACTCAATAAATGCTGTCGCATACTTCCTCACCAATGAACATTACCAGTCGACTCTAAGAATAAAAGTAGAGGTCATGATAATGGAATTAAAGAAACTTAAAATCTACAGTTTGAATGAGTAAACACACCAAAGCTCCTGCCGAGAGATAATAAACTTACGGAGTCGGCAAATGTATCTGGTTGCAGTGCTGAAACCTCCGTTTGACTACTATACGTAAAAAAATCACAGGTTTAGTGAAAATAATTGAACAACTGAGCATAACTTGCAAGCTTTACCTTTTGTGTCGAAATCGGTTGTAATTCTGACAAGGAAATAATGCAGTCTCCTGAGCAGAGTTGCAAAGCCGTCGGCGGGGCACATTTGGGCTGACGGGTTTGGCGAGAATAGGTATAGGGATATTGTGACCTCGTGATGGTGAATTGAAAATGGGACCAGCAGAGAGTTTCTCCAAAGGTTTTGAAGTCCTAGTAAAGGGAAAGCGATGACACTTCTAACGAAACATCAGTTTTGAGCGCATGTATGTATCGGAACCCCATTTGTTGGAAAGATCATACAATCAACCGCAAGTCGAGTCATGAGCATGCCAAAATATAGTCGGGTTTCAGTGCTCCATGGCAAAACTAACCTTTGATATAGCTTTTGGGGCTTTGAGTGCCATATCATCTAATAGACGCATTAAGTTTCTCTCAATTGATACAATGAAATTATTTCATAATTTTTAATGAAAGTGAATTTAGGCGAATCAAAATCACCCATTTAAAGAGTTGATGCTCAAGGTGACGACCTTAGGCGCTAGGGGTGAATCTCAGGGAAAATGGCTGCTTAAGCTGAACCGTGTAAATCTTTACAAAAAGCATGCTATTTTACATTAAAATAACACAACAAGCGACGGGGAAGAACACAAGGTAAGAAGACTTAGATGATGCATAAACAGTAGAAACTAGAGGAGAGGGCGAAAGGGGGGAAAGAGCATTCCTAATGTAGTTGTCTTTGCGGGCGCGCAGAACGCACGCATGGGTGCACGCGTGCACGCACACGCACACGGCGAGCGATTCTTACTGGTCGGTTTGATGACTGATAGACCGATATCGATAGTACAAGAGTGCGTGCGTGAGTGCACTCGGGAGCTTGTGATTGGATTGTATGCTAGTAATTAGCCTTAGTAAATGCCGGAACTGGTAGCAAGCGCTGACGCACGAATCTGATTTGGGAGCTATCAGAAATAGCATGTTTCTTTCATAGGGAGCGTATCCAGTGTATCACTGACTCGTTAGCGGGGATGTGGTGAGAAACTTGTCCTTTGTGATCTCCACGTTGCATCCAGAACAAAGAGAAAAGAGTTCGAGAACGAGACTTACAATACACTTACCGAACATTCTAAGAGCCTAAACAAATGACTACAAATAAGAATGTACAATGCTTTGCGCATACTTGTCAGTATTTGGCCAAAACGCAGAGTTGAGAGCAGAATGAGTGGAGTTGATTTGATAATAAAATAGTTCTGTCAAACATCCGAATAACATGCATGCATAATAATAATTAGCGAATCAAATGGTTGAACTGGAGCCCATACTTACGCTAATGCCATAATAGCACTTACAGGACGCAAAATAGCAAACTTAAAATGGACTAACTCTGCAAATTCTCAGAAGTAAACCTTACTGTAAGTGAATAAGCATTTGATAGACTGTTTACAAAAGTACTAAAACTTCTCCACTGTGCCCTCGACACTGGTGCGGTAAATAGATCTTATCAGAGTTAAAAGCTGCATCGTGTTAACATTCTACTAATGAGGAAACTGGTATGATCAAATAAACAAGAACGCGCTATAAAATAGGTACTACAGCACGAATTTTCGCCAATCAGTAGAGTCGTGTGTGTGTAAGAGCTAATGACTAAATCCTCAAAAGTCTCCGATTTCACACTTACTGAAATGCGTTTCCCAGTGGTGTCATTTCGTTTATGACAAACCAGCTGGTTGACGAATGAACACAATGGTGGCAGTGGTAGTGACATCAACACTTCCTTGACCAAAGTGGGCTGAACCACTACACCTGAGATCTACTAAGCATAGTTTTAATGCCAAATCACTCATGATTCGAGATTATTTCAACATAACACGAAATGGATATCCCTATCAGAATGAATGCGCTTGAATGCGGACCACGTGGACTCATAATCAGCTTCTCCCAATGCATTAAGGGATTAATTTAAGATAATTTCTTTGAAGTAGAAAACAACCCCTGCAAGTCATAGGAGCTAGGCGCTAGTGATTGCTTGACATGTGCCTACTCTTCAAACATTAAATAAAAAGCCAAACTAAAACCATGCACCTAATACTGCACGAAACATTTTCGAGAACAATCAATTTTCAAAGTGATACTGGTTAGATTTTCGACAATGACATAACTATTGCAACATGGAAGTTTGTTAATGTGATGGTTTAGATGAGCAGAAAACTAACTTGCTCCTAATTATGTACTGCAGGCTAACAAACCCCCTACAGAACGGAGGAAAGAGGAAGTGCTTTGAGGGCGAGGATTGCCATCTGGATGCGAAAGCGCACAGACCACACGCGTTAGTATGGCAATGCGATTGGACAGCCAGCCAACCGATAGGCCGATATCGATATAGTACGAGTGCACACGTGCGGGCTACATTATGACTCTGATTGGCTCTGTTAATCAACGCACGCCTAGTCAGTCTATCTGCTTTTCGCCCCAACTCAAATCGCGGCTGTGGGAATGAAAATGGCCACTTTTAAGGTTACATACGACGCTTGGATGCATAAGGAAATAACGAGGGTAAAGAAGCCAGGATACTGGACGTAATGCACTGTAAAATAATAACAGATCAAAAAAGAAGATTCAAGTGGCTATAATAACAGACATATTGCTTAAATTTCACAATGCTAAAAAATTATCCCAAGGCAACAGAAATCGGAAATAATGCATTCTGTACTACTTTCAAACAGGATGAGAGTTGTGACCGTTATACAAATTGCAAAAATACAAAGAATAAACCCAAAACAGTCTGCTCATTCGCATTGTTTATTGTTAAACCATTACCAGATACATTAACTCCCCAAGCTTACACACACGAGTTAATGTTTGCAATCTATAACAAAACCATAAAAATTGGTGTTATAGACAAGTGATAACCTGATGTCAATCCCGACGATCAGTAGCTTAAGTAGAGAAGTATTCAATCGCAAGAGACACGTATATAATAATAGTTTAATTCGCTCCGAATTAACAAAGCGCACTACCTTGACGAGGACGGGATACAAATTACGAAGATAGTTGTCACAACTAATGGTAAGTTAGACAAAACAAAACTATAGCCATCATTTCGATGAACAGTGCCCTTTGAGAGTTGTTCTGTAATAGAATAACAATGAAGGGAAACGTACACATTATTAAGCTGCACCGTGATTAGCTGCGCAGTGGGAACCAAACCCATTGATAGGGGAGGTGCGGAATTGATAACAATATCTTTTTTCATTGGTTCGGGACCGCAGATTGGTGTTTGACTAAGAGCACGTTTCGCTACATTTACAGCTTCTTCATTTACAACCTTCGAGCAGTTCGATTGCTCTTGTTTCATGGTGGTAAAAATTGTGTTCTAAAATGGGCAAGGAAAAAGTAAGTTGTATGTGAATTAGCCCTACTAAAGCCAACATTACACACAAAAAATACAAAAAAGCTAATAATATGCTACTGTGATGTGCATGATTTAGGGTGAATTTGAATCAAAAGAGATGACGTCAAAATAAATCGATAGGTGAAATTGTGAAGTATGTAATGAAGACCAATCAATACTTTTCAATATGTATGGCACTGCCAGGTAATGGACAATATTAAAGGTAGTACTCAGTGGAAATGCTGGCGGACAAGCCGGATTATTCAGAGACACTCAAACAGAAAAGTATCGGTCAAAGGGCGGCGGTGACTACGTAGAAAGGCCAAGAATCCTGGTTATGATTACGCCACGACAGAAAAAGTTATGAATGGAGTGGTGGTTGAAGGGGTTAATGCAACATTTGCTTTTGTCTCAGGGAATGATTTAGTGCGGAAGCTGAAAGTGCCAACAATACATCAGCTAAAAGTGAAAAAATGTAAGATTTTATCGTTCGGTAAAAAGGAGCAGTTTTGAATTTAATAACAGCGGATGCAGCTGCAGAACAGGAGGTACAAAATGTGCTGCAGTAATAAATAATAAAACAGCGCATATAGTAAGTCAAACTACTTATTGATTAAAAGATAACAAAGAGTTCACAAAAGCATGCGATCGCACAAATCGAGTATGATAATAATTAGCAAAAAAAGTGGGAAAAATGAGTGAAATACAGCAGCGGAATAGACCACAGTCACTTCAATAATGACATTGATAATGCAATGTGCAGATGGGTAGAAAAGACTACGCAGATGGTAATCATTGTCAAAGAACCAAGGATGCGGGCAAATTTGTAGGATTTCGGTACAAATTACATATGTGCATGTGCCCGCCTTTCAAAACACGCACTGACTACACCATATTTAACATAAAATGCATTGAGACTAACCAAGAACTAATGGACAATTTCGAAGCAAAAAATTCAGAAAAAAATCCACACACCGTGCTTGTTCTCAAACTGGTTGTATCGGCGTCCATTGATGATGAGCGCTTGGTTATCAGGCATTCTCTACAAAAAAGGTTGCAGCACACGTTATCTTAATATTCATAAAAATAGTTAACCATGAAGTGAACTCGGGCGATGAACCATGCTACACATGTTATTTGCGCTAGCAAAATGCAGATAACATGAAAAGAGGAAGTCACGCATCATGATTTTGCAGGCCAAATCTACGCTTGCGAAATGTGCTTACTGGAAAATGACATGATCATTCGTTTAAAAATAGTAAAGCATCAAATTCGCCTAATGGAAAACAAAATTCAGCCTTGGGGATTTTGGTACAATGCACGGAAGACCCTTAAGTGGACAAAATGTAAGCATACCAACGAACGACGCCACCGCTAAGATCTCCAGATAACTTATAGACAGCACATCAAAAAGTTTAAAACATTCAAGGACGACTGAGTTTCATGAAAGTTTGTACGGAAAATTTGCAAATTGAATCAGACTCATAAAGATTTCGCTTATCAATCATAAAGCAATGGTAAAAAATTTGTTGCAAGTCGTATCATTTGCGTTATTGCAAAACAAACGAAATTGTTAATAAGATAAATTTAATAATGTTCTCCTTATCGTGACGTAAACCAAACAGTTTGGCAGCGGCTGCGGTTCCAAAAATCGCAGAATAGGTAAAAGTCAAGATGTTGTAAAAAGCTGGCGCAGAGTAAATCGAAAACTACTTTCGTGTCTTTACTAATATTCGCTTAAATTTTTTATTAATTAAGACCAAATCAATTATTAAAAGGTAACAATGTTTACTAAACTGCACTTGCATTTATAATGCCCTGTTTATGTGGCTACTTGGCATTCGGCGGTCACTTTAAGATTTGTCTGGTCTTGGACGAATGAGCTGGTCCTCGAACCATGTCTGGGTTCAGTTTCTCTGTCGTCCTTGAAATACACGTGTCCAGGTTCACATGCTGCCTTCTCCCACCCCATGGGAAGTCTCGGGAAGCTACGGTGTTGATCCAAGACTTCCCACCGGATAGAATTAGGCACTATGAGGTGCTGAATACATGTTTTCCAGGGAAAGCACGAGATAAAGCTTGAGCTTGTCACGAAGGTCTCCTCACGCGTACATGAATCAGGCGAATCCTTAAGCAATCGCCAAACATCACCTGGTAGTGCTCTCAAAGAGTTACACTTCTTGTGAGCGGCACCCTTGGCACTTCATCTGTTGCATCTCCTGTGCCAAGCATCAAGACATTATTCAGTACTGTAAGATACCAACTACAAGCAAACCGCGCTGATTAACGGCTATTATGAGATTGAGGAAGGCTACTTGATCTCCTCAGCGCCTTCAACTATACCTGGAGCCATCAATTGCTTCCAAAACTAGGCGGTGGAACCCTGGTCTAAGACAGAGGTGTCACAGGGAAAAAGGGATAAGGCATGGTCACGTATATAAGGATATCCGAAGTGTCGTTTCCGACACCTATACAAGGATTTAAATGGGAATTTTCGACACGAAACTCTTTCAGATGATTCACGGTGGTGCCACTTCAGTTGTTGATAGTTTGATTCCGTGTTCCACAGACAAAGTGAAGTCAAAGGCAGACATCATTCTCAACCCTTTTGTTGTAAAGTGTTCAAGGATTCTCCTTCCACGGATGTAATTGCGCCGCCTTCACACCGTGGGTACTTACCACAAAAGGTGGATACCAGAATAGAAGTCGTTGGAAAGGTCAAATTCAATTTTTGCTGCCACCAGTGTGGTGCTCCGGGCGTTCACACCAGGTAGAAGAGGGCGGTAAGCGGAGCTGAATGCATGTATTCTAGGGAAGGAAAGGGATCAGGCTTGAGCATGGCTCAAAGGCCAGTCCACGCGTACAAGGGCCAGACGGATACCAAAGTGACCTCCAAGCATAATTGGGTCACATAAATGAACTACTACAGTACTGATCCTACTTTTAACTTAAATGTCTAACCTTGAGTTCATACTTTCATAATCAACATCCCTTCTCCCATTTCTCTAGGAACGAAAGCTCATATTAGTTAAACACCAATGCTTCGATTCTCGCATGCGTTCATGCTTACTGTTTAAACTGTGGCTATTTGCTCACCCTACTAGGTGGCATCACATTGATGTCGCACCTTCACAGCATCCCACATTATACATTTATGTTTCTGCTTCATGAGAGTTATCGTGCAGACTAATAACTGTGACTGTGACCTCACCTTCCATACCCATGCTCGAATAGCCTTATCCAGTGCGCCTCTCTTTAGGTTTGTTGATTTTGCACTAGTCTGTTCAACTTAATGAAATTCAGTAGCTTAACAGCAGATCATGACGAGATCCGACCATGAAGGCACATCATAAGATGCAGTCAGCCCATTTACATCTGGGTATAGACCGTGATCCCTCGAAGGGAATTCCATAGAAAGGCAGGCTAGAAACGCAATCCATTTGTCGCCCTGCTAGAGTGTGTCTGAGGTCGGTTCGTGCGCACCACCGCCTAATGACACACAGACGCATTTAACGCAAATGCGTGTTTGTGAGTGCGGATGTAATGGCGATAAGCGCACTGATCAATACATGCACGGTGCGTGTATCCACAACCACCGCACACATGCATTCAGGTGATTCATGCAATCTTTCATCCACCCCACTTATTTTGCAGGCCGCACGCATCTTAAGTACACGCAATACTCACCTTTTGGCTTTGCATAACGCTACGATAAAGAAGAGAACCTGATATCTGCAAACATGCCGGACCTACACCACTTAACCATACAGTTTATGGTAGTGTAAGGCAAGATGAAGTTCCAATACTCCTTAACCTACCTCACTGTCGACAAAGAACTACAATCACACCATCACTTACGTCGGAAGGCAAATCAAAGGTGGCTTGAGATCTTGGCATGGCACTTCCACAGATGTGAATTTGTCGTCAGCTTAATACCTACCTTCAGCTCTGGCATTCAACTTTGAATACGAAGGTAAAGTATTCTAAATTAACAAAGGCGAAGCTCGTAGACGGATTGATCTGCCATCTATTCATCTACCAGACGACGCACTATCTCCAGAATTGATCAATACTCACTCAAGTCAGTGTTGTGACACCGATGTACGAAACACCAAATTTCGAAATTATGCGGCTTCTTCGCGGAAAACAAGCGGAAGAATCATCAGGTGAGACAGTGTGACGTGACACTCATTCATGATGAAAGGAACCGAAGTTGTACGACTGACATCAGTTGGACGACCTCTAGATGGCCCCTGATGTGGTCTTCTCGACTCGGAAATGCTCAGCTCTGAATCTACGTTAAGATTGGCCAAAAGACGGTGTCACCCAATCCACGGAACCACGTGAATGGCTGATAGAGGGGCTATACATCACCTGAGTGGTAGCATCAGACTTGAGAAACAGATCGGCGACCCGCGCATCACCCATCCCTAAACACGAGATAACCCTGCAACACCTCAATGGTTGTATTGAACTACCAACATGCGATAAACCAAAGTGAGAGACCAATTACCAGTTTCATAGGGGCAATAGTCTAAACAACAGCACAGATGACCCAGAGTTAGCGAAATTCTGCCATAGCAGGTCGGCTTGTACTCGCCATCCATTCCACGTCTTGGATATTGATGAAAATTTAGTCAACTGCGAAGCGTGTGACAAGCACACTTCTGGTCAACAATGAATGCCAAATTAATCATGTTACGATTTCGTCTCCCCTTCGGTTTGCAGGTGTACAAATAACGATCTAGAAGGCAACCGAGACGGTCAAGATGACTCAGATTACAAGTAACAGTAACAATTAAGAGCACTGGCTTTCGACCTTTCCAGGAGCTTGTTTATTCCATCCGGTACACAACAATGTGGGCAGAAAGGAATTGTACTAAAAGAATATTTCGATTCATTATAATAGTGGCAAAACGTATGAAATGAAGGTGCAACAGATAGGAAGGCCCGTAGATGGTGGGTACGGCAGCCCGCTTATCCATCGATGCAGACAAGAGTAGCAGATGGCTTCAATTCATATAAATGGTCGTGCAAAAGCGAGATTGAATGCAAGGACCATAGGAGAGGGAGGGAGGAGACAGAGTACAGACAGCGCGATCAGCCAAGCGCAAGGGTGTGCATGGACTAATCGCACGAGAAGAAAAGAATACGAGACCTACCAGTCAATGGAAGATTAAGTTAGGGAATAGTAGAAAGCGTAAGGCGGTAATGCGCGTGCTAACATGATTCAGGGAACGGTGCAGGAGAGGCTTATTGGAAAGACGTTTGGCTGCATGGACATTTTGAATGAATGACTTCTACAAGTGGACAGTAGTTGCCTTGCCGTATTCCGCCTTAAGTAATCAAACTGACTCGTTCAGAATTAGTGCTTTTACAGAATACACAAAATAAAAAACGATGGGAATTGGCGAGTTAAACAGTCGCGCGAGAAGTTCGTGTTCTTCGTTCGCTTATAGAATTCGACATCGGGCTTTCTTGGTTTGCGGCGGCTCGAGAGTCGCCAAGATGGCCTCATCAAAAACATTTTTTAAGCCACACTAAAAATGTAAAACAATTACACTATAATTTTGTAACCAAGGAAAAATGAGTGTCAGATCCGAACTGATAACCCCAAGCTGACAAAAGAGTTACTACAGTGAGGCTTCAAACACCCGCTCAAGACCATTGAGAAATAGACAATCAAACAAGAACAGTCTCAAAAACAGACTTAATACTCGAGAAGCTAGAAGTGGGTTCCTTACATTTCAATGGAAAATGGAAAAAGAAACATGAAACCAGCGTCGCATCAGGGATGAACCATGGGGGAGAGTCGTGACAAAAACGATGGCAACAAGTAAGAAAAACAAACTGATCTACCTGTGTGAGTGCAGAGCACTCGACATATTTGTGCGCTTTTATCTCTTTAGCCAATTTCTCCCCTTGTTCATAAGTTATCGGTTTTTGTCGATTGCGCGTCAATTTGTCCAAGGTAGCTGTATCATCCCGAAGATCAATCTGCGTTCCAACCAAAAGATACGGTGTATTTGGCGCGTGATGTTTAACCTCATTGAACCACTAAATTAAAATGGCGACAAACGTTTAAAAGCGAATGCGGGGATGCACGAGGTCGGACAAAAATATACAAGCACTAGAGACTACAAGTAACAGAAAACATCCTTAAAGAGAAAATTTAACAGTTCCATTGACCATGCTATAAAAAATCCAGTTGTATCAAGCAATGATAGCCAACCTTCTCTTTCACATTAGCAAAAGAAGTAGGGTTGACAACTGAAAAGCACAATAAGAATATGTCCGTTTGGGGATAACTAAGAGGTCGCAGCCGATCGTAATCTTCCTGACCAGCCGTATCAAACAGAGCAAGGACCATAGGATCGCCGCCGATCATCACAGTCACGGCATAATTATCGAAGACCTAAAAATGAAACAAATGAGTGAAAATACCGTTGGAACGTATTCCGAAGGAAATTTGTTCGTTGTGTAAGATATCAAGAGACACGTTTTCCCCACCGCACCATCACCAACAACAACGCACTTCATGGTCCGACTCGAGGCAGTCATGTCGACAATCAAAAAAAAACTACGCCGTTTAACCGAAGAGCGTAATCATAAGTAACACGACTGAAACAAACTTGAAGAGCTTCATTAAAAGTTTCATAAATATATCCAAAAATAACGATGCTGTCGTAAACAATTTGATTTTTGGCTTTAAGTTGCTTAGATTTAAGGGGGATCTTGTCGACGCGAACGACATTTGATTGAGCTTCTTTTAAGTAAATTGGCACAGTTTTTATTTTTTTAAAAGGAATTCACCAATAATTACCAGACTATTTAGACTGTTATCACACTTGCAACGCTGCACGAATACCGCAATGTGTGCTACTGCGTTAGATTCGTTCTTAGACTTGCGACGGAAAATTTAATTGAATATGCGTCGGAGGACAAACGTTAGCCACTTCCCTCAGTAATATTGTTAGTAAGACTTTCAAGAGCAAAGCTTTCGTAATAATTAGCTTAAGAGAATACTTGATACTTGGATTCCACTTTGGCTTTCATTTTGCCTCTGTACTCAAAAGCTAAACTTTGGACCAACCCAAGTTTCGTTTCCTTCTATTTTGTCTAGTAAGAAATTTGGGAAAAATATACAGTTTACCCATGATGACCGAAGTACATGCGCTTGAGAGTCACGCAAGAGGTGCTATATATACTATCGTCCACTCAAAATCTCAGAGTTTTAACTCCTACTAAGACTTCTTGGTACGCCTCATTAATCACTTTGGTTTCGGAATATTTGGTAGAGTTCAATATGTCGAAACGTTACCAGACTTTTGTTTTCATAGTCAAAGGTATTGGAAAATTCTGAAAACTTTTAATCAAAAATGAAGGCAGTGGGTTTGTACTTGTTTTGTCCCACAGGCTAGCCTACGCAGAGGTGACCTTAACGAGTATGAATTTGGCCACAAGCCATACTGGCAGTGGGATGTGTAGCTTTCCGGGGCTTCCTATCAGTTGGAAGAAGGCATAAGTGAGGCTGAATACATGTATTCCGAAGACGACAGGGCAAATGGTGCCTGAACGTGGCCCGAAGGCCGGTCCACGTGTATAGGGGCCAAACAAATTCTAAAGTGACCGTCAAACGTCAGGTAGTCACATAAGCAAAGCATTACAGGGTGAACTATTTTTCACATTGACTTTCTCTTCTTTTGATCGAAATTTCGGACCTCCCTTCAATACACTTCTCGCGCCAGTCATCACAAACATTCCAGTTTTGCAATCAGGCACCCATAAGCCATCCGAGGGAATCGTCAACTTTAAAAAACAAATAGGAAGTACTTAACCTTCTCATCGGCTTTAACCAGTTCTGAACTTAAAATTGGCCAAAATCAGGAATCGGTGGGGAGTGCTTCTGCTGACCTACAACTTTGTGCATGATTAATCGGGGGATTTGTGATGCATCGAGATCTCCCACTATTTTAGGCTGAATAAATGTATTCTAAAGGAGGCAAGGATAGGACTTTTTTGGCCTGAGGACAAGCCCTGCGTTCATAAGAAAAACAAACGCTAAAGTAAACTTAAAAATATAGATGTTCGCATGAAAAAAGTATTGCAGAATCATTGGTCTAAAACAGATACGCGACTGCGTGAGCGTGATCGGACATATTCCTGTATTATGGACAGTTTAGTGTATTCCAGTTGGTTCGCAGAGGCAATCCTCATTTTGCTAATATCTTACATGCGGAACATGGAAATTGAGTAGATACCATACGGAGAAGCGGTTCTTAATAACTTAGCTTTTAAAGGAAGGGAGGTTTCTTTTGCTTGATGTGAATGCACTGAATATACACTGCAGCACTTTTTCACAAAAATTAGCATTGGCTTAGCTCTAAGGCTTTTCTACTCAATTAAGGGCAAGACAAATACCAAAGTGATTGACTTTCATGCAGGTAGTGTCGAGCAGAAAATGCAGCACACACATAAGGTACTTTTTTGCAAATGGTTATAGCTACGGTGATATTTTGTCTATTCAGTTGTCCTCATAATAACGATCACTTTGTTATTCAACTTGCAACATCCCGAGATTTTCCATTCAATGGAAGAAGGTATTGTATAGCGCCTAGTGCTTGTAACCAGGGCGAGGTAGTGTAGGGTGGACTTTGGCCTAAGCCAAAGACTCCCTCACTCAGCCGTGGGAAAGATGAATGCCAAAAAGAGATCGTCATCCATACACATAAATAAAATTAGAATATTGCTATTAGCTGCTTTGATCGGCCTTCCAAGAGTGTCAAAGCCCAACCTCCTCTACACTCTGAATCCAAAAGTTCAGTGTATCGTCCCAAGACATCCTGCCAAGCAAAAGAATACATTAATTAGGTCTGATAAAAAGCATTAAAGCCGAAGGGGAAAGGACGAAACTATAGTTTCGACCGAAGGCTAGACCTCGTGCCAGATATAAAGGTAGTCAAACAGACTAGTTTTTACATTGTCCGCCGTCACAGCATGGCCGATGCCACAATGAAGCACCCACGACCTGAGCTGCATTAGTCCTCCCATTAGCTTCGATGGGATCGGGAGTTACGTTTTGTCTGAGAGCAAGCGTCGTTGAGAGAAATTTCTGTTGACTATTAACGGAAGATGTTTAGCAGAGAAAATCGGAGTCAAACCCAATCACTTATGGGCGTGGGCTTAGCTTAGTGTCCAGTCTGATACCTATGCACGGATGTGTAAAGAGGAATTTCGTAAAGATACTAGTCTAGCTGGTTCACAGCCGTAATATTTACATTAATGGGTTGTTTGTAGGACAAGGAAATGCTGAAAAACCAACCCCATAAGTTGTTCTGAATCCTTCCGTTATGAAGAATTCAGAGATTCATTCTCCTGCAGTGCATTCGACTCCTCCCCACTGTTGATATATGCCGCAAACAGTGGACGCTAGGATGGAAACCGTAATATAAAATTCGAGTTTGCTTTGTGCTGGCGATAGTATAGCGCTTCGAGCCTTCCCATCCGATGAATTCATTAGTTTGGGTTAAGGAGCGAAACACAGAGTATGGGATACGAAAACTACTAAATTAACTGCAGGGTATACGAATAGTCGCGGTAATTTATACTAATGTGTTTAGATTGCCTTCATAGAGGAGAGACGATTCGGTAATTTGAAAACGAATCTTGTTTGTGGGGAGAACGAAGAGACCTCCATAGAGTGACATCAGCTTGGCCTCTCAGCATTGCCCCCTCCATGTCTTTTTTTGCACAAGGTGCCAAATAAGTCTTCCTCAAATCTCACCCATGAATTCCGAGGTTCAGGACCTAAGAGCAGGAAGAAAGCATTTACAATCATCTAAACAAAACATTATTTTCGGACATTTAAACTTTAAGTATGCTGCAATGCTTTGGTTATTTGACTACCTGACGTTTGACTTTCACTTTAGGATTTGTCTGATCCTTGTACTCGTGGCTGAACTTCAGGCCAAGCTCAGGTTCATTCGCTCTGTTTTCCTTGGAACACATGTATCTAGCGTCACTTACTACCTTATTCCACCCTATGGGAAGTCTCCGAACGCTACATATGCATGTACCCTCAAAAGGATTCCCTATGTGATAAATAATTACCATTGGGGCTGTTTGCTGTAGGAACTGCTCGCCTCGCCTCATGCTCTTGAACCACGGACTTCAAGAGAGGGTTAGTTGCAACAGATTTATTAGGCATCGATTACAGGAAGAACAGGGATAGGAGTACAGATGAGTCGAATAGCAGATTTCACACGGAAAGGGATTCCTCACGGTCCTCACGCACCGGATTCGAGTTCGAGTTCGCTTCCCGGTCCTCCCTATAAAAGTCCACTTTGACGCTTTTGTGTATCTTACATTATCAGTGTCATGGATTTATATTTCGAAGATTTTTATTAATACCCCTTTCCACTTTGCGGTTAACAGTAAAGATTTAAATGGTATGATATTTAGAACAGCGGATCCTAAAAGTGCCTTCCTTAACTAACATTTTTCCAAATGTGCCATAATTCAACATTATCTGTACCGTTATTTTAAAATGATACTTTTAAAATTAATAAATCACGATACATTCCTGTTACCGGAAGACCAATCCTGTACGTAGGTATGGGGCCCCACTTCTATGGCTCCCCCTTTATGCCTTGTGTTTTTTGTGTAACCTCGTGATGGGCTTTTCTACTAAAGTAAGCTTGTGATTTTTTTGTTGTTTTGGTTCAAGAATGGGAATGCAACTGCCAGTGCATGTCACAATTATTGGATTGATATTCTCTCTCAAAAACCTTACATGATAATTAATGGGAAACTCCAGACTTTTTCCTTGTATGCCTCATGGCTGCTTAGCACATGTTCGATTACTCCTCATTCCTAAAAATCCTGCAGTTTGTCTTGTGAGCAATGGCATAGTGAATGTCTTTGTAGGTTACGTCGAGATGTCGGTTTTGCAATGAACAATTTGAGTGTTGGAGTGAGCAACCGGTTTGCTCTATATGTCATGCTTTTCTCTATGACTATGCTACTAGTGACATGCTTAGTGATATCAAGTCCTTGGATGAGAAGGAGGCGTCTAATGACAGCGGAACAGAGGAGTTAGAAATGGAGACAGACCAAAGGAGGGACTTGCACACCTCATCATTCCGATGCAATACCGCATCCACGTCTTCACACAGTGGCTCTCCATTCCAACAGCATACTGCACTTCCATCGTGGCTGCCTAAACAGCGCCATCGTATGCTTACTTCACCAAATTTAACCCCCAGTCATACTCTGGAAAAATTACCAAAAGAGATTCTTATTCGTTTGTTTGACTACCTTGATGACTTTTCCGTTTGGGGTCTTCGCCTCGCTTCTCCCCGACTTCGTGCAATTATTGACAGTGAAATACCCGAACGTAGATGGGCTGCATTTGTCGCTCATCGGTGGCCAATTTTTGTACCCCGTCATCGAGTCTCTTCCTGGCGTCTCCTTTATCTCAACATGATGGGAAGCGTTACCTGCAGCTTGTGCTTGTCCCGCATTCACTTCCCTACCATCTTTCCGATGGACATTCCCGGAGTTCGCTTCCGTCGCATAGTTTCTGAGATACGCAGTCTCTGTGCCGATCCGCCATATGGAATCAAGGCGTTGGCCCTTGATACGGATACCTTTGCTCACTGCCTAGCCGGCATTGCTGGTCCACCTGCATCTCCGTACGAGGGAGGGTTGTTTTACGTCCACATTTTAATTCCTGACAGCCATCCAATGCGTCCACCCGTAGTTAGGTTCCTCACGCGCATCCTTCACCCAAACATAAGTTGCCATGGTGACATCGGTCTAGACTGCATCCGACACAACTGGAGCCTGGCTCTTACTCTTGACAAAGTCCTTTTGAGTATCCAGTCATTACTTACTGATCCATACACAAAGGTTTGCATGGAACCGGCAATCGGTCGGCTGTACACTCAAAACCGAGATCAGTTTGACAAACTTGCGAAGTTATGGACATGGAAGTACGCTTGCCACGATTATCTGTCTACTGCTTTCGTCTCTCAACTTTCGGTTCCTGATTACATTGAGTAATCTTTGTTATCAAGTAATGCACCTTCTGTGCAATTTTTTTTGTTTCAAGCTGTTCATTCTCTACTTTGGTGTTTCATGTATTACATTTAGTCGTGAACCGTTGTGCTTAGATGCTGACTGTTGCAAGTAAACGGGGTTTCAGAATGTGTGCACTTGGTCTTTTCGCGTTCTGATGGAGATTTGTATTCCGTAACTCGCTGATGAGGACAAGTTCGCACGCCTGCTTTCATTCGCTAAGGTCCAGATAATAACTAACTAGTTCAAATATCATCGAGTGGCATCGAGTGCTTCCATTCTTGCAGCCGCCCCCTTGCAAATCCGCCGCTTTGTTTTACCTGTGCCGTTATATACGCAGAAAGTGTCTGAATCTGTCAGTTTCTGTGCCTAACGCCTTATTTCAAATTTGTAACTAATGCTAGTGCAGTCCGTTAGGTAAATTTTAATCTTACCAAAGGGCACAACTTCCGCTGAAGGCGAGAATGTGCGTCGAGACTAGCCAAACATGAAGCGTAGATGAGAGTATCTCCTGGGTGTAAGCATATTAACTGTTTACTTTGTAAGACTTGTCAAAAAATGTCCAAATGTGAGGTGTTATGTGGTGTGGACTCCAGTTTTGCACTGATACGTACTGCTCGCTCTTTCAGGGCAGGTAGTAGGATTTGATTGCTTAGGCTAACAAAAAGACGTAAAACAGTGGACGGCGAACTCTTTTCTTTGCACAATATACAGCGAAGGCTTCTAAATCAGGTGAGAAGCGATATCAGTTTCTCCATCTTCTCAATTTCTACTTTTATCGGGTCGGGCTTTTCTAAACCCTTCTTCTCCTGTAAGTGAGGATCAAACGCACTTGATTAGGGGTGGGTATTGTAAACAGGTTTATCTATGGTGAGTTGCATTATAAAGCGTAAGATTGTAGAAGGTGAGATTTCAAACTTCGTAGTTTCATCCATAACATACCTTCGGCTTTTTCCTCAGATTTGGAGAGAGCTTCAGTGATATAACTTGACCCCTAAAAAACATTCAAGACGAGAAAGTGTATCGTGCACCATGTAGAGCTGACTTTTGATCTTTTTACAAAATGGTTGACTAGGTTTGAGGAATAGGTTTACATCATGAAGTGGTAAAGCCGTTCACTACTTATGTTGGAGGTTGCACCTATATTGGAGAATAATTGGTTTGCTCGAGTCATGGCGATGCGTAATGTGATGATCAGATTGGGTCTTCTTGGTGTGTGGAAAGCACTACTACGAACGGAGCCAGAGTTAAATGGTATAAAAAGCATAACATAAAAAGGATCACACTTTAAGTGATTTTCCGTCCAGATCGACACAATTGAAAGATCTCAAAACTAAGTTCGCGTCCAAGTCTGTACAAAACCGTGCTTTTTAACCTGTCGTCGCCACAGATGATGATAGGATAAGTGGGATTGAAGGCCACGTGGGTTAGTTTAGTACGCTTCTTCTGAGCAACCATTTGGAGGCAGAGGGGCTCGTATTTATTCACGTTTAGGTCGTAAATGTGGACGTTTCCGTCGGAAGTGACAGCGGCAAAAACCGTTGATGAGTAAGGTGCCCATGCGACATCTCCAACAGGTGCCCCCAAATCAAAAACGAACAACGGATCCCTACAAACATAATGCAAAACTGAAAAATGTTCTTTAGCCACCCTATGATCATACTTACACCATACCCACACACTCGATTTCAATCCACGTCATCAGTACCAACACTAGCTAGTTGTGTCAGTTCTGTAGCAGTTTAAAGTACGACTTAGAGTGGCCTCTAGCCAAGTCTGTTCTAGTGACAGCAAGGTTAGTGCAAGCATCATTTAAAAAATCCAATGTTATTTAGCCAACGAATACCAGGTGTCACCCTTGGTAGACATAAACTTTCTGCATATGAATGCGATGAGATGTTGAAAGTACTAACTCTTTGTACTGATGCCATATCTTGACGGTCCAATCAGCCGAACATGTGATAAAGATATCATTGTGGAAGTAGTTCCAATTCAGTCGGTATATGGCCATATTATGCGCCTTCAGGGTTAGCAAATACTCCGAGCCGTAGGTACTGCTGCATTTATGAATAATCCCCTCCTCCGTGGCAACTAGGAAGATTTGCGAATCTTTTCTGTGGAGTTCTAGTGCTGTTCCACTCTCTGTGCGTTGATGGAAAGTAGAGAAAATGCAAAGTTAACACGTTATTCGCTCAGACATCTCGAAATTTGTATTAACGGTACCACGAGAGTTCAAGGATCCATGCTTTATAAAAGAAGAGTAGACTCATAATTTATAAAAATAATATTCTTTCGACAATATTGTTCTAGCAACGGCTTTGACTGGTAGGCAAATAATTTACTGCAGTATTCAATAAATGATAAGACATAGTTCTAAAGATGCCCATTATTGCGCTTAGCAGCAGCATACGACAAGCCCTGTGATTAATTTATGACGCCCCCTCATCTGCCGTCAAATTAGCTTCAGCAAAGTCTTGGCCTTGGTATTTTGGTAAAAGTGCATTCAAACAAGAGAACTTTCGACAAGCTATTGAAATGGGAGCCATTAGCAAACGTGAGTTGATAGCTGATCGTATAAGTAAGATAATACATTAACTCGAGGCACCTGTAAGTGCTATAGAGTGAGAACAAAAGGGACACAGTCAAATGTTAAACTAATCCACAAATAGGTTACTAGCTTTGTAAGACAGCGAATGAAGCTGACATAATTTCATGCCCAATGCTGCAAGGTTGTCTTGCATCGAAACCACTTTAGACTTGTGCGCAACAACTATGCTTACCGTGTGAGGATACTTGCAGAGACCCAGGATCATCATTTGTTTCCTTTGGCAGATGCATACGAAGGATGTCGTAACACACGATGTCATCCTTGAAATGGTAGTACAGGGCCAATTAGAGCTTTTAATTATACACTCCATAGCATCGGAGTCAAACAAAGAAAGTAGAACGACAGCCGATTCACGTATGACACTTAACAACATAAGAAATGCGTAAACTCGACAAAGAAGAACCAAATGTTATTTAAAAGCAAAAAGTTACTTCTGAATTTATAATGACACCACGGAAAGGTCGTTTATCAAATTTTGTTAGAAATTATTCGTATCAGTGCATATGTCCATTGCCAAACAGATGAACATCGGGTTAGCCCTAAGCCATTTTAAATCTTCGATTATTTCGTACATGAACTTTCGAATTTTCGAGTTGGCAGTTACAGTGCAACTGTGTCATTGCGCTTACATTCACAAAATGCAACAATTGGACATTCAAGTAAAGCGGAAAGCAACTAGTTCAGTAATTTCCGATAAGTTGCATTCATAAAACGGTATGGAACATAATAAACACGACAGTAAATTAAAGACAAGTATGAACTCCTTCAAACTCACGGGACATTCATGCAACGTGCCAACACCAGACTTTGAAAAGTTTGAGAAGAAAGTTACAAACTTTTGTTCTGGATTATTTCAGAAACCGCTGAGTGTTTTAAGTAAATGAGCACAGTGAGTTGACAAATTTCATTCTCTCGTTCTCATACTCACCTTAAGAATGCTCCAACTGGAAACACGGCCATCTGAGCTGATGGAATAGAATATCAAGTTTGGTTGCTCATCATGAGGGAGCCAGCGCACCTGCCAAACGGGATCCGTATTTTTGTTTGAATAAGCAGTGCTGAGGTAAAGGGGCCCGACCTTCTCCTGAGTTAGCTTGTAAACACCAATTGAACCATCATAAAATCCAACACAAATCAAGGAATGATACTCGGGATGTATATCAAGACAGAGTACTCCGGATTCTGTTCGGAACGTGTATTCAGGATATCCTGGATTTTTAAGTGAGTAAAAGCATATCATTCCACCACCTTGCTTCAAAAAGTCATCTAAAATATAGTGGAATTAAGTAATCCTCAAACGTTTAGTCGTTGCAGTCCAATAACACATAACAAACTGATTACGGCACAAAAGCTTGCGTCATTGTATCCAACACGAAAACAGTTGGAATCTTACGAGAACCAAGTCCAACAGCAAATAAGTCGTTATAACGGAGGGACCAGCAGAGCGCAGTTACAACCATCTTTCTTGATTTCTCGTAGGTAAATTTCCATAAGGGCAATAAAGTTCCCATGGAATCGCGAAAATCATCGGAATTATCTTCATAGAAGGCAAAGTCTTGTAGAACATCATCAAATGTGTTCTGATTAATCATTCTTTCGACAGTTTTTATTGGTTTAAGGAAAGCTATGAGCACATCCACCTTAAGATTGATTAAGTAAAAGGACAAAACAAACACTGGAATCCATGGTTTGTCGTCTGTTAAATGCTTTCACGTTATTTGGTCGTACCAATGAATGTTTTTTGTCTACTGATGCGTTCTAAATTCAAATATTAGCTATAAGACCATTAAACCTTGTTGACCTTTTCTGACTGGTAAAAATCGTAGACACCCCACTGAGTAATGTTTCCCGAGAAACTACTTCGGGCTGGTGGTTCAGTTTGATTGCCAAATTCCTGATAAATGCAATGAAAAAGTGTGAATTACTTTTAAAGCATTGTTGTAGGTTTGACTTGCATGTTCACAAAAATTAAACTGATTGAATAGCTTTACGGCGGATGGTTCAGCAGAACGCTGAAAAGTAGATGGTAGTTGCTACCGCTTCCTGATAAAGTCATTTGAATTTAACATACCTCTAGCTCCTCTTCAACCGCATCTATGCTATCTTCAATAACAGAAATTGAATCAAGGAGGCCCATTTGAACTTTGGCCTCCCCCGATCCCACATGTATTAAGTTTCCATCAAGTTGAAAGTGAATGGCCATTTGATCAACCCGTGGAAGTTGTTTATATTGATTTTCCTTTTCTCAAGCTTGACCAAAAATTAAAGGAAACCTTAAAGTCAAATCGGACAATATTATCAGGAGCATGCGGATCAGCAGCCGTTAGTACTCGTGTTATTTCTTCTTTTAATTCCTCTCAAGTTTATAAGGACATCATTTTACCTCTTCGCTTAGTTGTAATTGATCATTTGGGTGTATGAGCGTATCCTCAGAAAATGGGTCTGATGCATCTTCAGCTTTAATGCTTTTTCTTTGTGTTTTAAAATTTGCCTAATGCTAATAATATTAGGCACACTTGTAACCTTTTTTCTATTCATTGACAATTTATACGGAGATGAAAGCTACATTCAAGATAGTGCTAAAACAAACGTTGATATGGCGACAGACAATATTTAGGAATTCAAACTTCGAATTAGATGGTGCACAAATAAAAGATTAGCATAAGATGGCTTATAGCAAGTTTCTCAGACTCCTGCAAATTTTACAAATGACTCACAAAAGTTAAACCTGTATAGGCTTCAAAAAGAGTTTTGAATATTTGAACTCATTTGAATCTTAATGCGTAAAATATATTTACTCTTCTGACAAAACGGCGAGTAAAAACATTACACCTAATGTAATTTGGTGCTTAAATAAAGTGAGGTATTAATTTGTCTACTTCCTATGTCTTCACTAGAATTGCCAACATGAACCTCTGAAAAATAATCCATTGAGTTTAAGTTGAACTTTAGAAGGGAAAGACAGTCGATCGATTTGTACACGGATTCCATGTCCAAAGAATGCGAACATCCTTCCACAGCGTGAAGTTGGATCGCGTTTCTACTCTCTAGTAAACCTCCCGACAATCCTCCAGTAAATTTATACGCCAAGGAATCCGAAAGTAGGTCTGGATGTTCTACGACACATCCACTTGTTAACAGTGTACGTGCGGCACTAGTTTTTATATGGTCTACGACTGGACTTCGAATTTGAATGCGTGCATGTGCGGTACTAAAGACAGCTCACTCAAAGAGCGCGAAACCTCGACTCCTAATTAACTTCTTAACAAGTTCTCATCTTAGCGACTTTCCATTTCGGCGGTGGCTTGCTATCCTGCGCGTACTACCAGATTAGACGACCACCCTCCCTCCTTGAAGTTTGGCATGAACGTGAAATAGGGAAAGTTCCCAAACACGTTGGAAATTTTCGGTCTATTTTAACTGTATTATGTTCTCAAAGGACCGTTTAACCTGTGTAATTATTGCTTCGAATTGTGTGCTATAGTTAGGAACGGCAGCCATGTGTCGACAGGAGCGACTTGACATCTATCTGACGTCTGATATTTGAAAGTTCGGGAGAAGCGCTGCTACACGCTTCCATGGCAAGCAAAGTTCTGTAAAATTCATCAGCTTTGATGCAAGTTGGAAGCCGTTCTTCAATTTCCCGTGAAACCGTTAGATTCCTCAAAGCGCAGGCATCCTCAGCCTTTCCCGCGATTGGTGCCAGTCCCAGAAGCACAGACAACGCCTCAACCAGCTCGTTATGACGGATAGGCTCACCTATGAAAGTAAATACAGAATCTTATATTGACGACTCTTCTGCGAGATAAGCCGGATGTAACACCACAACTAGGCATTTAATGAAAAGAGACGGTATAGTTCAACAATGCATAGATGTGCTGAACAAGAAGCTTAGCAGCACCAAAGTTGCAGTCACTGTTACCGAGTCTCTTAAAATGCTGGTGTATGGTTGAGAGTTATCCTTCTTTGAAAAGACCTGGACACTTACCAAGCATAGGGGGAGGAATCATTTAAATTGAAAATTTCGCTAACAGAAAGTGCATAACATAAAACGCCTAATTTAGGGATGAAGGATGATACTCTTGAAATCCGTTAGTGGGAACGTAGAAGAAGCTCGAAACACAACTAATGCTACTTTAGAAGTTTGGATTAACAAGGCCCAGCTGTTCACTCGAGTGCATACATAAGGATCAAATTTTTTGGTTTTCATTAGTCAAATTTCTTCACCCAAAAGCTTCAGGGATATTTCGATGCGTAAAATGGTATGATTTTAGATTCAACCACTGATATACGAATTTAGAGGCTCTGTAGAGCAACAGAAGACACACCGACGGTCTGCAGTAGCCTCAGAAGATTAACCTGCTGAAGTTTTGGTCCTAGATGCTCTGCGCAGAGCCCATAGAACGGGCAATGAGGTTCATGAGGTTTCGCCGCCTCCACTATGGCCGTAAATGCTGTCTGGATATCATCTAGAGAAACGCCACTGTACGGCACTCGATAGTTCACGAAGACTAAAAATGTACCACAAAAACGTTAAGTGAGCTCCGATGTATAAGTAAGCAAAAGTCCATAAAGCATAGCAGAATAAATCGTCCATTTCGCGCAAACACATGAGACACATTTGACCCTTTGAAAAATGCATAATATGGATAATGCAACGACCGATATGATGTTCAGGCGATAACAATTTGGCAACCAATTATGAAATTACTTTCCAATGATAACTAAAATAAATATGGACTTTGGCTCGATTTAAAAGTGATCTAGGAAATCGTTCTGTTGTTCTAAGCAAACTAAGCGAACCGACTGTTGAATTTAATTGTGGAAGATAGAATGCTCCCTTTGACTGGGAGTGTGAATGAACTCACGCTTTACAAGTGTATCGAAATCGAACTCAGTGATGTAACGTCCCGTGGACCCGAACCTGGAATATTTTATCTCATTCATCATATTTTCTACCTAAATAAAATTGAAGTAAGTGGCGCAGTAAGCAAGGCTACATGAAAGTGATAAGTAACCTCAAACGCCTACATCAGCATCGGTCGCAAAGAGGCCCATCGCTCTCGTGAGGTAGGGCAACTCGGTGACAGGAACTGTACATGATGTTAGTCTTGTTTGAGTGCAGGAGATCCCTTGAACTCGCAGCAATGACAAATAAAAGTAATCCTTCATATCATTCAACTCTTCTGCCGTGAGCATATCGTAGAAAGGCTGCATTGGATTGCAATACAGATGAGTTTGAGCAACGATGACTCTAAAACAAAAGCGATAGTGTAGAAAGCATAAAAACGCAACTTTACAAATAAAGGAAGGTGGGTCACAGAGCAAGAGTTTACCCCAAATCCGCCCTCCACATGTGCATTGTGTTGTCCGGGCCGCCAGTAGTGAAGATAAATCGAAAGTCCCGAGAGACCGCAAGGTCAGAGGCGTACCCAGTGCCGTGCTCGTTACAGGGGTGGGCAATTATATTAGTAGCCTTGTAGGGATCGCCATCTAATGGAACCAAAACCAATCCCAATTGTTCGTTCGTTAGAAAGACTAAACAACCCTTGATGGAGGACTTCCCGATAACGGTTGGCGTACAGGGAGGAGAAGGGAAGTCATCCTTTTCTGGCAAAATTGCCAAGCTATAAAAAAAGCCTGGGTCAGGCGAACCCAAGAGCAATCGGTGTGTTGATGACATGCAACAGATAATCCACTTCAGAATGATATTCTTCAAAATATCCCACAGTAAGATGCACTGAATGTTGCCTTTTAAGTGCGTTTGAACATCAGAAAAATTACAAACTAAAAATAAGTTATATGCTTGTAAATTTAGTTCTTGAAGACCGCAAGGGAGTAAAGTAAGGGGATAATAGTTTGCAACTTTAAATTAACTGTGCCCAAAAATTTGTGTGAAGTCGCTTACCGAACAAAAGGAGCATCTTTCACGGGGGCCATTACGGTTTTTCGAATAGCCAACGCATCGGCATCGAGGAGTCGGAATTTCGAATCTGAATTGGCATAGCAAATGAAATTCTCAGGGTAAAAATCCTCCATTGAGACAAAGCACTGGGGCTTTGCAATGTGCTCAACTTTCATTCTTCGCTTCAGTGGAAGTACGTTGTGCTTTGCCCTCAGTACGTCGTATTCAATCTAGGGTTCCACACAAGGAATAGCAATAAAACGTTGTTTTGCGTGCAGCAAGTGCAGGTCGCATTGGCTTGGCTATCAGTGTAATACCAGTGCGAATAAACCAACTTCAAAAAGATATCGTGGTTGATTGGAACTTCGCAGCATTAGGTATCGGAGTTATTGGAGCCTCAGCTCGCCATAGACATACCAGCATTCGGTCCTCACCCAGGGTAAAGAGCCTCGGAGTGGCATCATTGCTAGATGTTTTGAAGAGTATGTCCACAATGTTGTCGCCATGGCCTCGGTATCGTCCAGAGAAGGTCCATTTTCGATCCACAGGGTTACCGGTGTGCCTCCTTCGTAGCAGTGTGGTTGAGTGTTGTGTGTCCTGTTAACGGATACAATATATATCTTGTGGACATTGGAACTGAACACTTACAATGTAGGCACAGTAGGTGCTATCGGAACTGAAGGCAATTTTCTTAACAATTCCTTTAGCGTAATCGAAAGGAGGTTGTTTAATGTCATCAAGCGTGACGGCATCGAGGAAAACAACGCGACCAGAAGTACAACCGACGGCTAAAATGGGTGCAAATAAGCCCCACAAGTAATACACTGTGAAAGGAATTAGGACCTCTTAAGCACGTCAAAACAATTGGGCACCTCATCTTAGCATTTATTGCTTCAACTGCAGGCTGGTACAGACTGTCGTACTTCCACAAACGATTCAGAGCACTGTAAGCGTGTATGGATGGGTGTCGAAATTAACAAAATAATTTAATGTAAAGCGCTTGATTCGCGAATCGTTTAGACTACTACGTCAAGGGCGACTTTGGGAACTGTGGACAAGCTCTGTGCAAGAAGGAGGGTGTACAGTCCAAGCTCCAGAAGACCTCAACACACTTGCATACTCGTGCAATGCATAAGTGAATAGTGTTAAAGGGAAGTGAGAGCTCCAAAGTATGCCTATTACTCCCAATCAGCAGTAAAAAGGAAACCTTGACCGTTCAGAACATTCTCTTTCTCAACAAAGTAATGTCTATGAGAAGAGAGATAGCAAAAAATAGCACTGGGGTTTACAAGCTGCAAAAGCTGAGTAACAACGAAAGACCACAGAGTGTGGAAACACATACCGAGGAAGCTGCCATAAGGATCAAAAGCGCAAGTGTTCAGCTGCTCATTTTCAAGTATTCGCGTGCGAACAGGCACTCTGAAGAGGAGTAGTGTAGCGAACGGTACCACTTACAGCCACTTATAGTTCCAAGTCTTTATCATGCCGCTATGACCGACTGTAGTAATTAAATCCCTGGAAAGTAAAGCACAATTAAACTGAAGCAAATGTGTGCAGCAACAGGTAGTGCATTCTTGCGGGCGGATTACCGGAATGGATGAGCGGCGATACCGTTGACTGTAGCACACTGGTCCCTCTCAAGAAGCTGACAGGTTTGAGAACAGAGGAGTTAAGCTATGCAGCAATGCAACAGTGATTAGTAAATGTTGCAAAACCAACCTTAACAACTTTTCTTTCAATTTGAAGACTCAGTATGATGGCCTCTGCTGTACTGATAACAAAATCCTCAGTAATAAAAGCAAGCTTTGGATCCAGGGTGTCTACATGCTCCTTCTGTACACTGAATTCCTCCAAGCCACTACGTACAACATAACAACACGTTAGTGGGTGCTGTCGATTTCTGACGTTACTCATTTAAATGGTTCATTGTAATAGTTCAATTGGGTCTACTTCTACGTCATCTATGCATTGAAGCTCAAAGTACACTGACCGTGCAGAAGTACATCTAAAATGTTTTTTTTTCTGCGCAGCAACCCGTGGTGGTATCGAATAATTTCACAATCACCCAACATTAAGTTATTAAAATTACCAATGGCGCACACAACCGCAAATCCAAATCGCCTTGCTGCATTGAAAGGCCCAAAAAAAACCCTACTTGAAGCAGCGAAGCATATTTAATTTGTGGCATTCTTTTGGTGATCTAAGTAATGTGACTAGAAATGCGCAGACCTAATCGGTAATGTCAAGAACTTTCTTAAAAGTCCGAAACAGTAGTGCCACAGGAGTGTAAGCTAAGATTTTTGACACTTTGAAATGCACGAGTGAATAAGAGGATCTGCTAAAGCTGAATATTCTGCAACAACCACGGTTTTAGAAATGCAGTAATACTTAATGTGCATAAAACTTGCAAAAATAGGATGAAGATGCATTGAGTCCCTCTTAATCACTTGCCCGCTCAGCTTGTTGGAAGTACATGAACAAAGTAACTTACAATTTTTCAAACACGCTGCATCTGTAAATGCAATAAAACAGAAAGAGATAAAGTCATTAACCACAACTGATTGCTCCACTGCAAGCGCACTCGTAACGCCTGTTTTAAGATGCAATCAAGGCTGACAACAATGTGAACTTGAACGCTCTCCCAAGTTCCATTAAGTCAGCACCTATGAAGTAAGCAATAAGCATACAATACAGGTTCCATTGTTCGGAGGTCGTGAGCACACAATCAAATTGTAATAAACCAAACTTACACATTGAAGAGTCCTGTCTCAGCAAAACTGACTGACGAAATGGGACCAAATTTGAGGTTGTGATGCCAATGAAGGAGCTTAAATTTTGAGTCGGAGAATCGAATCTGACCACTTTCATCGCCCGTAACGACTGCTATCTTGGACGATACGCTGTAAAAGTGTTGGTAAGGAGGATGGGATCAAGTTGAAAGGTACACGGAGGTAGGTTAAAAAATAACCCTGATTTACCAAGAAGTGATGGTAAGGAAGGTGATGCCCACCTGGTGCAGAGGAACCAACCTTGTTGCAGTTCTATAGCACGAGGATTCCTTCAAGTCTACAAGGGAAAAAAAATTGACGCAGTTTGGAAACCATATCACCCTCAACTTCATTTGTTTAATGGACAGGTACAAGTAAAGTCACATTCATAAGCAATGAGCACACTTGGAATTCAAATGATTTTTTCTCCAGATACTTCAACAGTTACCGTTTGTTTTAGGACTACAATTTTACTACAAAATTCATAAGTGATAAACCCAAACCACACATTACGATCACAAACCGATTTTATAAAAATGGTACAGAATGTAGTTGCAAGGCTTATCAAAGGTCTAAGTTGATGGACATCATAACCAGTAATATCACCATTCGCTTACAATGAACGATTGCGGAATCGCATTTATACACGTTTAGAAAATGTTTTCTTTAATGTCTATGAGCAAGGTGAAGGTAGGAGAAAGAGTTGGGGACCTTGGTGGCAGCATGGACAAATGGCAAAGTGCTAAAAAAATTGGGCCTTTTGGGATCTCACCCTTTTTAGCCCACCACCTCTTTTCCCAAACAACGATGTAGCCCCTGCTAGTAGCAGTTATTGCCATATCTGTGTCCGGAACGTAGGTAGACATGACGAAGCTGCCGTAGTTAGTCCGGAAAGTTGACGAGTGTAGAGGGGGTGAGTATGAGGTCATGCATCCTCCTAGTGTCTTTGCCAAAACGTTCAGTCATTTCATTAGTTTCTTATGCAGAAGTTCGGCAGGAATGATTAAAAGACCGTACTCAATATTCAGTGTTCGAGAAAAATGGGGAGACAACACACCTCAACTTGATAGCCCTGTCAGCGTTTTTTGAGTATTCCACTTTATACACCTGCATGTCATTGTTTTTAAAGCAAGAGAAAGTTTAAGTAATAAATAGCTGGCACTGGACAACGAATGGAGAATGATCAAATATTCAAGCAAACAAAAGTGGTTTGCAACCGGCCAAGCATTTAAAATTGATTCGACGTAAAACCTTTATTTACGCTAAAAGAGAATATTACGTGACCCATCCGAGGATGAGAGTATACCATTAGAGGTACAGCTGCATACCTTACCGAAAAAAGCAAAAAAAGCTGATACCAAGTCCTTTGCTATTGAACATAATCTTAAATTAATTTCCACCCCTTGCAACCATGACTTACCCAATCATAAAACACAACATGAGTTCCGCTATTCGACATAACCTGAAAGTAATTATTTGGCCTGAAGGCGACGTGAACCTGTACACCAAACTTGTCAGTTTCTAGTTGCGTATAGCAGAGGGGCTGCTCAATGGAACTAGTCCAGTTCCATACAGCAAGGACCTGGTGCTTGGAATCCGTGCTCAGAGTAGCCAAATAGCGCGCGTCGGGAGAAAGGCGGAGTCCCACTACTCCATCACGATGAAGTCCAAAGAGGCAACGAACCGGCAAGCGGCTGCGTGAATCCCATACTATCACCGCACTATCAGGTCCTCGGTCTCCTGTGCTCAACCAACGACGGTCCCTGCTTGCACATGCGCACACTATCGTGTTCACCTATTGTTATCAAAAAAATTGCGAAAATAGCTGCTGAAGAAAAGCAATAAATTAAGAAGCCGTGTTCCACATTCAGGATCAAGTTTTGAAAATATACGGAGCCACAAAAGATGGGAAACATTCAGCTAGCCTCGATTCCTTGAAGTAAATTCACATTGCCTTAACAATATTTGTGGTAAACTCAAATTTAAAGTCCTAGTTGCTAGCAATTTCACACCGGTATTACCGCAGCATTAACTATTAATGCAAATGACACTAAAAAATTTAAATATGCCCATTTAAAACTTATAGTGAATTGTATTTGGGAAGGCTAAGGATTGGATAACTTCGAAAATCAATGCTACAAGGGCATACATGTCCACGGAGAATGTGTTGTTCATTTTTCTTAACGTCATAAATCACAGCAAGATGACCAGATACAAAAAAGAGACGAAAATTCACACCATCGCTCAAGTTTATCACAGGAACATGATGATTGAAACTAAAAGCTCGAATAGGCTTGAGAGCTTCCCGAGCACAGGGTGGTGCCGATAGTTGCTGCTTCTGTTCCTTCTCCTTAATAAATGGCCCGACAGAATCCGATGGAGGTTGACATTCCTGGTCAGTAGGTTCGATTTCGAAATAATCACTAGGTCCCCAAACATCCTTGGCAGGAGTCTGAAAGCAGAGTGAGATTCCCATGTCCTCTGTCGAGATGTTCACATTGGCTGATCGCGACACAGCGTTACTTGGCCCTATAGAAAGCAAAAGCAACTTATTTACAATTCGCCAAATAGCTAATCCCTTCATGGAAAAAATAAATTCAAATCCACTGTATAACCGAACCCATGAATTAAGTAGCTTAAAAAGCAGCATACCAGTTGGAACATTCTAAAAACGGAAAAGTTTTTGACAAAAAAGCAGATAAAATTGTCCATATATCTTCCACAAAATTCAGAATAAGATAAAGGAAGAAAATAACATAAATTTTTTTCGGGTAGTACCAGAAGTAGGATTTTAATATCTCACTAAAATTACATCTAAATATATAATTAGAAGACAAGATACACTTGTCATGAGGAACTTCATAGCTTCGTAAATACGTATTTGACACCAGGACTACCGTGACTTATGCCCATATTAGTAAATACAAAGCGTTTTATATTAGGGTTCTAAGTTAAAAATTTGGATCGCATGGATTCCCTAGCCCCCTGGAGGCAGGCTTTCAAATGGAGCAAAAGCGCAACTCCTACCTTGTTCCAACATTTCATGTCAACAGACTTGAACAGGCGGAATGGTCACATGGAAGTACAAGGGCAAATTTAGTAACATTAAACAACTTGGTTCCAATTTTTTAAAAAATCCAAGATTTTGCAAAGGACCAAATCACCTTAAGTAATGCGTAGTCAACAGCTTAACAAATACATATGGAGTTAATGCAATGGAGAACTTTTCTTTGTGAGAGGAAAAAAATCGTTTGCAGGTTGGGTTACATTGAAAACACTAGTTCGGAAAACTTAGCAGCGAACCATCGCGGAAATTTGTAAAGGCATCGTTCATTTATGTTTTTGTGAATTTATTTGCGGCTTACTTTAAATGCTTTCGTAACCATTGCATTTACTCCAATTTTGGCAGTGTCGCTGAGTAGTCATGAAATCGATGCGAGAAGTTTTGCTAATTAGCATGGTAGGGTTGCTATGTTTACTGCATCCCAAGCTAACATAATAGTCCCACAGTTATAACTTTTGCTAATGATTTTTTTACAGGGCCATCGGAAGTGGTATAATGAATTCGGTTTCTGTTTTTTGTAACGTCCTGCAATAGAAGGCATTAGGCGTTGCTGTATACTTACAGTTAGACATAATGTGTGAAAGGGATGCAAAAGCCTGGCCCAAAGGCCAGCTAACGTGGCAGCAAATTGATTGTCCGCATAAACGGCAGTCACATGAACAAAGCTATACATTTCTTATTTTATTGCATTATAATTCCGTACATGGCCACTTAAGAACCTGGAACCATGTTGCCATAGCAATGATAGACCATTATGAAATTAGTTTTTTATTTATTTGTTAAGAATTACCGACCCTAGCTTTCACTTAAACACGCGTTTAACTACTTTGGAGCTCCAGGATTTCCCACTAACTTGAAATGGCATTAAGTTAAGCTAAAAATACATGCATTCTAGAGGGATGAGAAGGGATTGGACCTTGGCTTAGCCCCAGGTACGGCCCACGCGTACATGGGTAGTACGAATATTAAGGTAGCCGCAAGGAATCAGGTAGTCACATGAGCAAAGCACTACAAACACTGGTTGAATCTTCAATCCATGGTTCGTGCTTACTCTGTGCCATCTTCTTCACAACGTTGGTTTATCACTACATCGAGGGAAGCCCATTTCACTGAACATCGACATATGATGTGAAAAGTTATAAATTGTTTAGGGAATGGCATAAAGAGGCTCGTAATTGTTAACAAAGCAACCAGTTGACTTGAGTTGTAATTCATAGTGTTTTGTTGCATCCCGATGGTGTCTTATTAACGTACAATTCTACTAATGCAAGGTATAATAATGTGTTTAAGTCGCCTTCATAGGAGAAAGAAGGTTAATCAATTTGAGCACAAATTCCGTGCTTGAATAACGCCAGGACCCATTCGCTGGGCAACGATGCCTGGATAACCCTTTTCAGCCCACCCTCTTCTGAAGCTCGAGGTTCAGATTTCTGAGAGTAGGATAGGAGGACTTGCAACTAACCTCATGTAACTTTGGTTTTCGTGTCATTATAGTGGTGCATAGTAATACAAAAAAGGCAAGGATTTCAGGGATCACTAACATTAATGTTTAAATCACAAATTACAATGGGCCTGCAAAGTCACATTCATTGCGTTGGTTCTTGCCAGACTCCCGATTTTACAACGTTGTTGCACTGTTCCCCCAAATAGTGACTTTTGTATTCGATTCGAACCTGTAAAAGTAATGCCTCCTTAACTCATTGTTTGGAAGCATTTATGAAAGATCCCTAAGTGACTGTATTGCAACCCCACGGTTATTACTTTGTGAATATCAAGTGGTTTCATAATTCTGATTTACGGTTTCTTGTTTTGAGACACGTTTTAAAATGAAAATGCTTTTGCTTGACATTTCGAGGTTCACAAACGTGGCTTGAGGATTGCTGAGCTCAGCAGTCGATGCCTAAAACGTCAGCAGCCTGCTTTGCTACCCTTCCTGCAGTTGGTCCATTTCGTTTGTTTCAGTTCTAAAACTGCTCGTAATCCACTCAAACCAGCAAGTGTATCTCAAGGCTCACTGTTGGATACAATCAGTTTTCTACGATGCATTGTGAATACTACCAAAGTTAAGTGAGCTTAACGGCATGCCCTATTGATACTGGGCTTTGCATTTGGTAATCGAAGGCATGAAGCGTGGCTGCATACTTGGATTTGGGGCAGAGATGGTGGAATTGCGACACACACGATAGAAGCAAGATGACCAACATGACCACCACTGAACGGGTCGTCAATTAAACGTCTATTCGAATCAATGATGGGTTTAGATTAAAAAGGTACAGGTCTCAATACTTCATAATGATCATATTAAATAGAATAACCGGAAACAGTTACTTGTTAAAACGCAAAAAGTGTATTTTAATTGAATGTAGTTCTCAGGAATGGCCACGTCCAAAGTGGTCAGCTTAACCATTCCTTTTTAGCCATGCTAACTAGATGGGTGCTAGTAGGAGGTCGAAACCGCGGGTAAATTGTTGGCATTTACCTTGTAGATGCAGTGATTGGCCCCAACGACCAGTCGGTCAGGTGAAGCTGTGGGATGTATCTTCCCCCCAAACACTCTTAAGGAAAGCTACATTATTGACCTGCAAAAAGAATGCCTATCTTAGCAACTTAAGGGCTGCGAGATATTCTCTAAGGTGCTCGATTTTCAAATCGCTGAATGAAATGGTTATAGTCTATTTGAAGGAAGTATCCTACTGGTAGCGCATTGTAAAGAAGAGGGAGGATAAGCGCCTACTTTGTTGGCATCCTCATACATTTAGTCGGTGGTACGACCTTGCCATTGCCAATTGAGTGAAGCGAATTGGGGCTAGGTGTCATGAAAGATGCTCTCACTTTTTTCTGCACCACTAAACTCTGTGGGGTTTTGGTTTATTTAACCACCTACACAGTTGGAGTGAGCAGGTTCCTTCCTCATCATGTCCAAATACTGTTCATAGGATAGAAAAGTTCCTAACTTGGAAGACCCCAGTTTTCTCACTTATTCTTAATAAAGTCGTAATCTCACTAGATTCCTCCATTCAGAAGAATATAATTTTAACTAGTTTTGGTTTACGAGGATTGTGAGAAAAGACCAATTCTGGCATTCACTTCTCCTTATTGACTGTTGACCATTAAAGGAGGTATAAAGGAGGGGTTTCGAGGATTAATTGTCTGCAGAATATGGGGTTGGACTGTCAATCAGCCTACAAACCGAAAGTTCAATGTGTGGCTACTAATTTGTCTTCCAAATCTCGCATTTTAAACTCGCAAAAGTGAAGTCCTTTACCATTTCGAACGGGTCATGTAGTGATCGTCTCGGCAATCAAGACCCAAATGCGTTGGAGATCAGCTAGAGGGTTTTAGTCGCAGAGTTTTGTGCTAACTCTAAGAGTGAAGGCATGAGCCTTGCATAATTCAGACAAAACCCTCAATAGCTACGCCGTCATTGCAACTTTTGTAGATGCTCACACACATGCCTTCCTATATTTGGATCCAACAATTAATAATCTGGCGGGAAAAAACATTAAACAACTACTTCTTTTTCTGCCACCCACTTAGATTGCCACAGCTCTCATTTGACCAAAACAAAACATAGTTTTGCAAGACGTCGATGCAAAACCACTTATTCTGAGTGGCAACCTTGAAGACCAAAACATTCCCTCATCACTGCCATTGACGGACCAAACGAGCAAAGGAGAGCATTGCTTTTTTATAACATATGTTTTCAATAATCTTACGAGTGACCCGCTCCATGACATCAAGGCAACACACCAACAGGTTGCTGTGAACATGAGAAGAGTCAGTCAGCGTGTGTAGTAGGGAGACAACGATGGACGAAGTTAGCAGGACACATGCATGCCCCCTGGAGTGGCGGTGTCGAAGAATGGCGTTGATGGTCATCTACCGAATCGCTGCTTCGGATTTTCCATGAGTAGGACCAGACTTGATTTGCAATTTCATGAACATCTGAAGAGCTGCCGTTGCATTGTATATTTTCTGGTACATCATAAAATCGTAGGAATTAGGCACTTCTTTTTCTGTTTCTACCAGTAATGAGCTCAAAATAGATGGTTTTGAAAACATCCGAAATTCTTCAAGCTAAAATAAACTATTCGTAGCCTTGGAAGCCTACAGCGCAGTGAGGATCCGCACACTACCTTCATGTGCAAAAACCTACTTTCCAGCGCTGACGAACGAGGAAGTTTTTGCGGATGTTTTCGCTCACGTGGGCGTAGATGTTCACGTCTCGGGCAGCGTTTTTGGCAATCCAAGGATGTGCCAGTGCCTGCGTGCAACTCGCTCTCTGGCTTGGATCCTTCTGCAGCAGACTGCGGATGAAGCTCTTCGCTGAAAGGTCAACCGCATCTAAGACTCCTCTTCATGATTGAGGTGAGTATTCAACCTTTCCTAGTGCCACAAGTTTGACGCGCGCATTTATTTACTTTTTTGGTTCGGTTGAAGGTTAAAGTGTAAAAGGACGGTTGAATTTTAACATTGAAAAAGGATGGGAAATTCGATCCAAGGTTAGAGTTGAACAACTTGCCTACCTGAATCAGATATTTCATCCCAGTAAGGCGAATCGAACTCGTAATGAGCCTTTTGGATTTGTCGAAACAGTTCCTGATCGCTTTCATCGTAGAACGGTGGATATCCACACAATCTTTAGTCAAAACAAAAAACACAATTTTATGACACTGCAAAGGAAATCATTAACTTCACCTGCCAATGAAGAGTCGCAAATGAGGGCCAAAAACTTCTCCCAGCTAAATGTCCACATGAAGCTTTAGGTAATTAAGAAAAAGCAACTAATGGATTTATTTTTTCAAGTTAAAAGGCAAAACAACTCCATGAATCACGAATGTCTTTACTCAGCACACTTCGTGTAATTCATGCTTCTACCAGTTGGCAAGTGCAACTGCCTGGCTTCAGACAAAGTATTTTTAAACTAGTGAGAGTGTATACCAGTGATGATAATATGCACCCCGTACCTTTGTCAGGGGAGTAGAAAATGCGTCTAATCTTGTTAGTTGTGCGCTCAGCATAGTCACAAGACTGCCAAACCAAAGACCTTCTGATAGTCACTTTTGCCCCTATGAATGTTTATTGCAAAATTTCGCGCATTTAAAAGTGGTATTTTTATTAAAACAATGGCATTCTTGGAGTCATACATTCCATATCCTGGCAGGGGTGCCAAGTGCAACTAAACTTGGACGGCTTTACAGGCTGGTGGAAGAGGTAGTGTTCGTGTACTCGTGTAGCAGCATGGGTACTCACAGGATGTAGGTGATGACACCAATCGCCCAGCAGTCGACTTCTTTCCCATAACCCTTTCTTCCCGCTTGTGCAGAAAGAACTTCCGGGGCTAAACATTCAATAAACTTCTACTTTATCGTAGTCAAAGAAACTATTATACAAGTCGACCTTCAATGTAGCCAATGGGGAGCATCGTCTTGATCACTCACCCTAAACTTCGCCTCACTTGATCGAAACGAAGAAAGACGTATAACAATGTGCATGAATTACAACAGGTTATGCAGTACAAAGCGTAAGTGGAAGGAGAACACAAAGTACATAGGCGACAAAGTCATTTGAAAGACAGGATGGAGGTCTATTAACACACCTCCAGTGTAAGGTTGCTTTCCGCACAATATTCATCGGTCTTCGTGACAGACAAAGTGGATTGACCAAGACATCTAGCAGTAGCTCACACTAAGGGTCAGTTAGAATACCTCTTGCTGCAAAGCTTAAGGAAAACCGTATTCTTTAATGAAGAAATAAGAGGTGGAAATTCTGTGGCGCAATAAGTAAGATTGTGGGTCTGCAAGTGAAAATCGGGCTGATTCACCTTCACGGGAGTAGCTTATCGGGGCTACAGGAACGTTGTCCCTTCATTGTGGACAAATTTTGCTAGTGGAAGCTACTAAGATGGCCTTTTGACAACAAACATCAAGAAGGCCTCATAAATCACTGCTTCACTGCCTGCAAGCCGAATCAAGTTCCTTGGCCATGTGAAATGAGAAAGGCACTGTGATTTGGCATTGATCGAAGGACGTTTTCGGCAAAAATGGAGTGACAGTCAGTCAGTTTTCGACTATGTACTTCTAAAATTTGCGGTTAATTTTTCTTATTTAACAAAGGCTTATTCCAAAAAATGAAGGTCCTGATAGTGGAAATATTGCCCTACTGGATGTAAGTGTGAAAGCAAGGAAGGGCGTACATACCGACGTATCCTGGAGTGCCGCAAGCTGTGGAAAGAGACTCCTCAGTCCCATCGATTCTTGAAAGCCCAAAATCGCTAATCATGATCTTACTCGTTGGCAAAGGACTGTGAAAGAGCAGATTCTCCGGCTGCATTGCATCGACAAACGCAAAACAACATTAACCTTTATGATTTTATAATTTGTTTGAAATTCATAGGCACTTGAGGAGCAAGTTCGTATTTGTAAACCCAACTGGCTTTCAATATACCTCAAGTCAAACCAACCGTCATCTTCAGCGCCTACCATGTTGCTGCTGTGGTGCGGTGAAAACGTTCATTTTGCTACATTGTGCTTTGCTTGAGCATTCGAATGTTTGGTTTAGAGAGGGCCGCAGTTGCTCTCCTTAGTGCCTTATTTAGCCAAAATAAAGCCAGTGGTAAAGTAAATGCAACCTGAAGACCATGTCATCGAAGTCGAAGTGGTTCCTTGTGCAAATGTTAAAACGGCGGCACAAATCACGCAAAGACTTGCAGTAATAAGAGCTTTTAATGATTCCTTCGCTATACCTACCATTCCTAAGCAAATTAACTTGTTTATTTCACTAATCGTCCAGTGTTGGAATTGCCCTGTGCTTTTGTACATCTTGGTGTGATAGACGCCAAAAGAAAGGTTATAACTAAAGCATAATCAACTAACAAATTTTGATCCGACCCCATCCAAAATATTTTACTGACCAATGAGGTGAGCAACTGCGGCTGGAAATGTCAACTGTAATACAAAAATTCCCCTAACCATTTTAGCGACGTCGTAGGGTGAGGATTTAACCAGATGGGGAAATAATGGCAGCATCGGAGCCTCCAATATCCTGTCGTACTCGTACTCGAATGAGTGGATGTCGAAGTGAAATTATCCGCTCGACAAGCATTTGTTTGATAAGGCTTCTTTTTCAAAATTAACTCCAAATACAGAATATAAGTAAGTTGTTTACAACCCACAGTTACGCCTGCGTTCAGTGACTCACCTTACTAGTTGATTGTGTTGACTACTACATGGGGAGAGTTAGTACAATCATTTGACCTATTCACCATTCACAAAAGCATTTGAGCAGACACAGTCACAGATGAGGATGGCAAGCAAGTTCCAGCATTCAAAACTGCTAAAAATGCGTTTTGTTAGCCATTTGCTATGCAACCACTTTTATTTGGACGTGTGAGTGTTGTTTCTGTTTCTGTGCCCGGTGCGAATAGCAGCGCTGCCTCTTTTGATGGTTACAAAGCAGTGCATAAATGATAACAAGGAGACCGTGCCAAGTGGGCCAACGCATCGCTCTCATTTCCTCGACAATTTTGATACTATACGAAACCACACAAGACCAAGTGCTCTTTGTCAATGATACGGGCTCATATGAAAAGTCGAAAAAAGCAAAAAAATACTCACTTTTAAGTCTCTGTGAACCACTTCCCGGCTGTGCATGTATTCGGTGGCCAGAAGAACCTGTCGTATTAAATCACTAGCATCCTTTTCTGTGAAGCTGCCTTTGTCAACAATGCGATCGAAAAGTTCGCCACCCGTCACCCTTAAAAATGCAGTAAGCCTATTGAAATGTATTTCCCATGCAGTCGAATTGAATCGGATCACATCGCTGCTTATTCGCTCATCGCATACCTTTGCTATGGAATTACGTTGCAATCCTACCATCCATTGAGCCAATAACTTTACTTAAATTGAAATTAGTCAATTTTCAAACTGTACAAACTCGTCCATTCCTGCTCCTCTACTTCGACGCAAGACTACTCAAGAGGTAAAATTAATGCATGGGCGTAGATGTTTTCATGCTGAGGGTGGGGAGGAGAGAAGGTAGAGGATGGAGAACAAGCAACGCGTAACATCAAGGACACCAAAAACAATGAACTGACTTTCCCGCAATGTGCATTCATCAAACAGCCTTTGCTCTACACTACTCAAGTGAGCAGATTTTATGGCTAGGCCACTTAAGACTCTGGAAAAGGTGCCTTCTGATAATCAAGTAGATGCAGTCACTGGGCCCATATACTGCAAGCATTCCTCATTCCTTTGCAGTATTTTTCTTCGATCCTCCGAAGTTTGCATTAAACCGTCACAGAAGTTGAACTTCGTATAAAATAAGTATGAAGTAATACAATGGTATACTTCTTTGGCCATCCTTATGCGTGCGTTGGAGGGAATCTACCTTGGTTATAAATTAAGACGAGATTAGGTTTTCTAAGTCCAGCAATTGAATCTGGTGAGTATGGAACGTCTCTCTATTTCACCTCCTATTCGCCTTTAGGAAAAGGCGAAAATGCTCATGTAAGCTAGATGTTTGCGCCATTCTTTTGTTATATACTAAAATGGATTTTGTGGAGCCGAGATAAACACAACTTAAAAAGCGTAAGGTTTTAGTGGTTGTATTTCTCTTCCACACTAACATGTATGGCGAGAAGTTGGAGGTGTGATCCAAGCGTTGTAAAGCTTCGCCATCAGTAATAGTGTCCAAGACGAGGACTTAGTCCATAAAAACCCTATTTTAACGATATCGAGTGCAGTTCATGTGGGACATTTACTTATGGTATACTTGCTTTCAGTACAAAGAATAGCTTGTTTAACTTGTTCAGCCCATTTTCATGTTCCGCGAAAAACTGTATGAAACAACAGTAAGATTGCGCATCAATTCTAATTAGTCACTAATTAATATTTGTTAAAAAAGTCAAGAATTTGGCTTAAAACATTGCAATGTCTGCATATCTTATTCCTAAGGCAAAAGGAAGCGACCGCGTATTTAAGGAGGTTATTTTGATGTCAACTCCGGTTATCTATTGCAAAAACAGCAAACAAAAGCTAAGCTATGCAAGAATTACACTAAGCATATGTTATCGAAGCGTTCAAACTTTGTGCAGTACCTAGTTTTTGAGAGAGATTAAACGTTTTTGAAAGCAGATAATTTTAGTACCATCAGGGCAGTTGTGAGTGCTCAAGAGTAACGTTATTAGATTTTTTGAATTTGCCTAAATTAAAGTTTCTGATAGTCCATTTGTGAAACATTGGTTTTGCAAAATCTAACGATACAGAGTCCCCATAATTGCAAAAGGAGTTCTTATTCAACACGAAGTAGCTCATGATGAATGTATAATCTTTAAAATATGCCCTGTTTGAAAGTCACATGTTCAAATTAACGGCGTACATAAGACCCCTCTCTGAGAATTACGTTCTGTTAAGGCTTGCGAATAAATAAATCCATTTCAAGATAAATATAATTCCTAATAAATCATATACTAGAGACGGCGCTTCCTACCAACACAGTAGAGCTTCGAGCGCACACTTCAACGTATCGCACAAAATATCAATGCTATATGCAACAATGAATCCGATCTTGAAGCAAGGAATTGCATAAAAAGCATAATAAAGAAACCTCAGTAAAAAAGCGCACAAAGAGATAAGGACAACATGTCCGAAATATTTAAGTACCCACTATTATGATAAATTATCTAAAAAAACAGCGAAAAAGGTATGGACTTTCCTTACACAATAGAGCATGGGCACGTACTCCAAGAAATTTATTTTCAGCGTACTATCTCAAGCGTACTAAACCCAGCTCAAAAATTTCACTAAACCTGTTCTAAATAAGATGCCCATAATAAGGTGAAATTTGCGATTCGAATAGAAGAATTGCACAAGAACCTGATTTTACAACGAGAAGTCGGAGTCGGAATCCTATACAGCAAAATACACAGGTCTAAAAATATTTACTTACAACTCCATTATCAAGTAGTACGAATCTTCGTCCTCGAATGCATCAAATAACTGCACAATATTTGGGTGGCTAAGCCTACAAAATAATTTGGCGCAATAATTAAAGCCAGACCTACGCAAAACCGAGATTTCATTTTTCAAAGAAGCTTCGCGAGACTTAAAGTCATCCTCGTCAAAAGTATTTACGCCACTCTTCTCGGGATGACCATGCTTCCTTATGCATTTTATTGCACAAAACGTTCCAGGATTCAACTTGTCCTCAGCTAAATGAACCTCTGAAAAGGCGCCACTAAATATTTTAATTCCAAAAGCTCTTATATTACGTTCCAAGAAGCTCTTTCATGTTGTATCTATCAATTGAATTGGGAATCGACATCGCGTCGCCTGAATTCAAAAGTGTTACTGGAAGAACCTTGACCTATTTTGCATATGTCATACAGCTTAGACAATATAAACAAATAAGTAATGCTTTAATTAAACTAAAGTTGAATAAATTTTATTAAATAAGCAAATACATTTTAATAAATTTTTTTGTCATAAATGTTGCTATAAGAAAATGTAAGACTTAACTTATGCTTATGTACAACATACGAAATATAAGTAAACTTTTACTTTTTCTCTAGCATCCGAATACTTCACGTTGAATGAAGGAAGCTGTAAAGAGGAGCTGAATACAAAGGGATTAAGCCTGAGCATGGGTTAAAGTCCATCCCAAGCGCACAAAAGCTTGACAGGTCTTAAACTAACCGTTAGATATCGAGTGGATATATAAACAAAGCATTAAGGCTTCAATCTCATTTTAAAACAGAAAACAAGTCTAAACATAGCTTGGTGTAATTTTTTTTGCTGAGCGGAAATGATTGTTTAATAAGAATGACCATTTTAATTTGGGAAAATGGGTAATCTTCGTGCTGCCAGGAGTTAAGATTGAGACTTATTGCCCAACTTCCAAAGGCCCCTTCATATTCCTAAATGGCTAAATTAGAGTAAGAATGACATCTGAGTTCTTTTCCTCGAGGTATAGGTCATATGGTATGCCGCGAAGTAACAAAGACACTCTCGTGATCTGCCTTTTTAGGAGAAGCCAGTCCTCTATATTCATGTCTTCAATTTAAAAGGAAATATCGAGCAGCGCTGCCGCCTATGTAGGATCTCTCTGCTTAACCTTAGGTCTCTGAACCCTGGACTTCATAAGAGAATAAGGTTAATTCGGCATATTATACGGAAAAGGAAGTGGCGTTTATTGATGAGACGTTAAGCCAATGTCACCTTGCGACTCAAGACTGGATTCGTATTCCAATTAGTTAACCACCGTTCCCCTATATAGGCCACTTAAGCATTTTAATATATATTACTGTAGCTTCCCGAGGCTTCCTATAAGGTAGAAGGCATAAGTGCGATTGGATACATGTATTCCGAAGACATCAGGGCACGTATACAGGGGCCAGACAACTTCTATAGTGACTGCCAAACGTCCAATAGTCTATTGAGCGACCTCCTCAGCGCCCTTCTTTGGTACAACTCCCGCGCCAGCCATCACAATATGTTTGTTACTACAAGAAAGCACCCACGAGCCAACCGCGCCAGTCGACAAACAACACAACACTGAGAAACCGTACCTGGTCTTCTCCGCAGCTTCAACAGCAGCTGGGCTAACGTTCGGTCTGACAACCAGATTCGGGACCGCATACACATCTTGATCATCAATTGCTTCCAGGGATAGACGGTGCAACTCTGGTCTAA